AGGGGTCACTAACTTATTCGCGCAAGGTCCCTCCATTACTCGTGTGACTCCTTGTTTCCCGAATGCACCTTGGTATCCAAACCTTCCACCGCAGCAGCACTAACGGGACGTTGCTGATGCCAAGGTCTCCACCCAGGAAATGGAGGTCGCCAATCCGGAAAGCATTGACAATGCCGATAAGTATGACCAACTTCATCACATGCCCAGCAACGAACATCACGGCCACGACCACGTCCTCGCCCTTGTCCTTGGACTCGAGTAGCAGCAACATCAACCTCCATGGGAACAGGACCATCACTCATAGGAAGTGGAGCTGAAGGACGTGTAGCAAGAAGTGGAAGAGGCGACGTCTCATAACATTGTGCCAAGCGAAGAGCATCGTCAAGAGTGGCAGGAGCAAGTGCATGCACAAAGCCAACAAGATCTTGACGAAGTGCTGGCCACAACATTCCTAGCTTGATCTGCTCTGACATATTTGGCTCCGCACGAAGCAAAAGACTTCGGAAACGAATGCCAAATTGCATCACAGACTCAGATGGCCCTTGGCGAAGACGATGCAATTGTTGGAAGGCATCATCACAATCGTCAGCGTGTCCGAAGGCGCATTTGAAGACGTCTGGAAGAACACTCCAATCGCCACGAGTGGCTGCGTGTAAACTCTTAAGTTTGGACTTCCCGGGAGGTCACCCAGCCCAGTACTATTCAAACCCAAGGACGCTTAACTCCAACTATCCCAAGACCCTTAACCGATTGGAAAAGGGGGTGCACTCTTGTTCATGGGCCCTTTCCCTCTATATTTGAACCCCAACGGATCGTCTCTCGAGTCGTTCCCTTTGGTTGCTTACAATCCACCACGCTTCCCTGCAAGTTCACGCCCTCGTGAACGGAAGCTGAGAGCCGCAGCTCTCCCGAGAGCCTCGCTCTCTTGACACCCTACCCCTCGGGTCGAGCCCAGCGGGAGCAAACTGGACCAGCCAGATGTCAATCAACATGTGGTGTGATTCCCTTAGCCAACCAACAGAGTCGGACCCGAGACCCCTCTGATACCAAATGTAAACTCTTGAGTTTGGACTTCCCGGGAGGTCACCCAGCCCAGTACTATTCAAACCCAAGGACGCTTAACTCTAACTATCCCAAGACCCTTAACCGATTGGAAAAGGGGGTGCACTCTTGTTCATGGGCCCTTTCCCTCTATATTTGAACCCCAACGGATCGTCTCTCGAGTCGTTCCCTTTGATTGCTTACACTGCGCTCAATCCATTGTACCACTGCAATGCCGTCCCTTGGAGACATGTGGGGAACTCACACAAACGTCGAGCATCATCCCAAGAATGATATGTGGTAATCACCGTGAAGTGATCGAACCAATGGTACACATCATCCCTAGGATTCCCACGAAAGAACTCCGGCCGAACGCGAGGATTGGCACCAAGAGCAGGAGGAGTTGTACCATATGCCGTGAACGCCACCATCAACTGAGTTTGGTTGTTCAATTGCAAGCGCATAGCATCAAGCAATTGAACCAACTGTTACTCTAGAGTCAAAGGAGGAGATTGCGGATCGGCCATGAAGATGAATGAAAAAGAAAGAGCAAAGGAAGAGAAATGACAAAAAGCTGGAAAGAAATGGTAAATCTAGACAATGCAAAAAGCTATATCTAAACCAAAATCCTGAAAGGAAAGAACAAAAGAAAGGAAATGGAAAAAGCTAGATCTAAACAATGCAAAAGCTAGATCTAAACCGAAATCCCAAATCCAAGCACTCCCCAAGGACAATCAAAAGTGCCCCTCACCTTTACCAATGTGAGTGCATGGAATATGGAAAGGGAATACAGAAATGTGCATATCAATTAGCCCAAAAACCTTAGCTTATATACAGAAGCGAGTGGTCCGGATTGAAACCAATCCGACGGCTACCAAAATCCCACTACGCTAATATTAGTATACAGCATTGTAGCCATACACTTGGCCCTCACACACACACACACACACACATATATATATATATATATATATATATATATATAAAGCATACAGGTTGGCATTCCAGAATCCATGCTTTTGTTTTTTTTGTGTTTACATAGTATCAAAAGTAAGCTAACTCTCACTCACTTTGATGGCATCATTGTCCACCTTGTCTTTGATGGAAAGGATTTCTAGATGCAATTCTACTTTATAGAAAAGAATATTTGAGGAGTGATCGAGAGCAACCTCAATCCAGGTGATGATATGCAGATCAGAAAAAGGAGTGGGAGGTGTAGAATGGCAAGGTGTGTTTGGGGGGGGGGGGGGGCTAGTACTGAAGCTATTTGGATATTGATAGAATGACAAAGGAGAATTGGGATTTTGTATGCTTAATCCTTGGCAAGACTAATAGAGTGAGATTGCTGGATCTCAAGCTCCAGCTCAAGAGTCGTAAGCAGGGAAAGGCAGAATCAATGAGTGATTTTGCCAGCGGGCTTGTGGATATCGCCAAGCAGATTGATACAGTCCAGATGATCCATGGCAATGAGTTGCTCACAGCATTCTTCAAGGGATTGAACAAACTGATGCAGCTGGCAAGGTCACATCACCTAAGTTCTAGCAACACTTTTACACAGATTGTAGCAGATTTCATTATGTAGGAGGGCTTTCTGAAGTCTGGGCAAGCAAGCTCAAAGGACAAAGAGTTGGCACTCTTTGCTGGGAAGGGGAAACAATCAGTCACAATGTGGGATAGATTAGGACCAAGAAACCAAGGCGAGAGCAATAAGAAGTTAAAGAAGAAGAAGAACAATATGTACACCATTTGCAAGAAGCTAGGGCAAGAGATTGTATAGATAAGGAGGCCAAAAGAGCGAAGGAGGTGAGAAAATCCGAAGGCACAGAAAGTGGGCAGTAGGAGAAAGTCGGCCAACTTTGCTAGCATGGCAAAGGAAGGCAATAAGGATGATTGGGATGACTATGGTAGCTTGTTCATGGCCATAAGCATCAAGAAGCAAACCACTAACTTCCAGGATGAGGCAAGAATAGTTGATTCAGTGGCAAACAAGTATATGACACACCTTAGGGAGCTTTTTACATAATTTAGAATAGTTCTAGGAAATAAATAGATTTTCCTAGTGGAGGGAGTTGGCACAATCGACATTAAGCTTCCATCAGGGATATTCTTGAGGTAAACAAGACACTATTTTCAGTATGGAAAATAGCAAATTGTGACCTTTCAAGAAGTTGGGTTATATCATCTAGTTTGCAAGACTAATAGATTTTTAGATATGGCATTGAAGGTTTAGGCAAAACAATGAGTAAGACAACATGGAACTCCAAGCAAAGGAAATGGTGAAAGGATTGATGTTATAGTATTAAAAGATATTTATTAGATAATTCTTTTATTACGATGGCAAAAGATTGATGGTTCTTTTTGTTAACACACTTTGTCCAAATGTTCACATATATACTTGGCCAGATGAGTATTAAGGAAGGAATTCTAAAGTGTTTATGTAGTTAAATATACTTGGCCCAGTTTGTTAGTTCTTTTTTCTCTATCTTAGATGAAAAAAAAAAGATATAAAAATATAAATAGAATGAAACTAGGAATAAATAAACTTTTCTTGTTAAAATGGGATTCTCATACTAAAATGGGAGTCATGTCTTAGTTCATCCACTTAATATTTATATTATTTTTATAATTTATTTGTTATATTAACAAACTTTTGCTTAAGTGGGACTAGGATATACCTAGAATATTATCGGATATTCTAAGATATTTCATCTAATAGTGGTTATTCATTTAAATTAATCTTATATTTATAATTTTTAAACATGTTAATAATTTATAAACTTTTACTTTGTATCATCATGAGCTTGTAAGGTCTTTTGGAGCATGAGCTAAAGAAACACTACAACTTACAATGCATCTACGTCCAAAATGGCAATTGCAAGGAAGCACTTAAAGTTTCCAGGCTCATAGGTTAAACTGGTATCAAGTTCAATCATCTCAACTACTATCAATGATTGATGCTTGTTCTGGTATAAGGAATTTGCCACAAGCCAAGTCTCTTCTATCCCAGCTTTTCTTTCTCTTGGCATGTGGCTATAAACTATTTTCTTTACTAAACTATATAGGATAATGACAAATCCCAGTTTTAGCTTAAGTTTGTTTCTTTATTTTCCAAGTATTCCAAAAGTAGTTTATTTGAATTTTATATTTCTGAGATAGTTATGTTATGTTATAGTTATATTATTGTTTTCTTTGGTAACTTGTTCAGACTTTAAGTTCTAGTGACTCCTAGTTCTCATCGGATCACTCCATTGTATTCCAAACTCAACCCCTATGAAAGCTAGGTTAGTGATTGATTTAAACAAAATGGATGTATGCTCTTTTACACAAATACCCATATAGGGTATGATAGTAAGATTGATTGTGATGACAGGAGCGCTAGAATGTAGAAATCAGCAATGTGGAGTTTTTCTCAATTTTGTGATTATACAAAGAGGTGATAAAATCTTAATCCCAACCACTATAAATTTTACCAACTTAGCTAAAACAATACTAAGACTTCCTGGGATAGTGGGCATTGCTGCTGCCATAGTTTTTACAGGCATTGCAGCTGTGGTTTGCCAAAATCAAGCAGCTATGGCAAAATCGTTGTTGCGAGTGTTGCTCACGTTTCAGCTTTAGACAATGATGTCTTATGTTATATAACTTGGCTTAAAGTTTTAAATGTTAATGCAAGGCATTATGAGGCCTGTGCTTCCTACAAATGAAATTGTCCCATTGAATCTAGTATTTGAAATTATAGCTAGTTTAAAGGACCTCATCCTCAAAGTTCTTTTGCTATATCCAGTGATTATCATCCTTGACCTACATCCCTGCTGGCTTCCCTTCGCCCAATTATCATTGGCGTCATCTACAAGTATCTGGGTAATGCGGGCTCCAATCAAAGTTGATCCATCTTGAGCCTCACCACAACTATCCAGCTTCTGCAGAGTGTCACTATCCTTGTTACTATAATAAGCAAAAAAATAAAACTCTACGAATATTATTGATCTTAATTTACGAGACAAACTCCTTGCACTTGAACTTGGCCGACAAGCTCACGGGCTGGATCACGAGCTCGCAGCTCACGGGGACACCCACAACCGCGGAAGACACCGCCTTTGACGCCGTGAATCGCGCCTTGAGCGTGCCGGCCAGCAACACGACCACGCGGTTGACTCCAAAGTCGTAGCGCAGCGCCCTCACAACATCGTCCCCGCGCACCACCGTCGACTGGTCACTCACCAGCGCCGCAAAGGTGAGATTGCTCCGGGGATCCTGGAGGAAGGCCGGCGTCGCCACCGTCGCTAGAGCTCGGCCCCTATACTCGAGCAGCAGACTGTCGCCCGTGTAGCGGAATGGAATGCCATAGCGGTTCCTGGATTCCATCGTGAAATCCATGAAAGCTTCCACCGTGAGCTCGCCACCAGTGTCTCCCAGGCTGAATCTCCCGATAGTAGCGTTGGCCATCACCACGATCGGGAGCCTCGGATGAAGATCGAGATAGATGGCGACGACGAAGAGGCTGATCACCATCACCAGCATCAAGAATCCCAGGATGAGGCACACCGCCAGCAGTCGCTTGTCCCTGTCCTTGATGCATTTCTTGAGCACCGCCGACTTCACGATCATGGCTGTCAGTTCTTCGTTCCTTCTTCGTCCTCCTCCTGGGCTAGCTAATCTAAGTCTGAGTGCCCGTCTATCCCCCACTTTACGTATGATCGAGCCCCTTGAGCTCGCTCTCCAAGGAAGGTATCTGTCTATCTGGATGCTTGTCCCACTTCCAAGACTTCCAAGTCCCAAAGCTCTAGCGTAAGCAAACCCTCTCCTCCGGCTAGTTGTGGCAATCACCGTGCTTCACCAGCGATGGCGTGAAGTTCGGGCAGTCCACAGTGCCGCTGCCGGGGGTGAAGCTGATGGTCAAGTTCCGGCAAAAGTAGATCCTCCTCTTGAAGTTGGACAGCAAAGGTGACGCGCGGTACCTGGCCCTGAGCATGCCGTGGAGATAAACACGCTGCGTCATCAGCCCCGCGCGCTCGTTCTGCAAGTCTTTCACCACGTTCTGGGGCACCTCCACTGTGCTGTTGCACACCACTGTGAACCTCTCGTAGTGGTTACCACCGCCGACGCTAAACCTCGGAGTCTGGCCGTCGCTGATGTCGTAGGCAACCGTGGAGTTCATCTTGTAAGCCACAGACAGCTTGCCGGGCGGGAAATTGAAGTTGACGCTGTAAGCACTGCTCGCGTTCAAGGAGAAGGCCATGCTGATGTGTAGAAACTGGGAGAGTGAGTCTCCACAAACCGGATCCAACTGCTGGATCTCGCCACCCTGTAAAGCGATCGAAGGCAGCCTTGCTCGAGCGTCCACCAGTATAATGACCAGGAAGAAGAACGTGATGAAGAGGAGCAGCAGTGCCGCCAGGATGGACAGCTTAAACCACATAGACGACGAGCCGCGCAGAGTTTCCTTGGGGACAGACTTGTGTCCACGCGTGCTATGTCTTGGACTTCCAGTGGTCGCTGGCTGCTGCTGCGTCGCTGGCTGCTGCTGCTTTTTCTTTGGAGACTTGCTCTTCTTCGGAGACTTGCTCTTCTTTGGAGACTTGCTTGTTGATCCTGGAGGAGTGCTGGGCCCGGGATGTTGGCTGGTTTCTAAGAGTTTGCTATCCCCTGGATCTACTGCTGAACTAGCACCCGGAACTTTGCTACTTTTCGGAGGCTTTGGCGTTCTCGAACTCCTCGGAAACTTGCCCGCCCACCAGGACTTGCGTGGAGAAGGCTCACTCTTCTCCAGGGGCTGCCAAGTCGGAAGCTCCTCGGACATCATGCCCCTCATAGTCAAGTTTCCCATTCTTCCGCAATCCTTGAAAGACGCACACGCAAGAGGAAGTGAGTACCTAGAAAACACAAAACTTGACAAGTACTTACAGCCAAGTCCCGAGTCCGATGTAGTCCGGCCTTTGCTGTCACACACCGCCACCTTTGATCTCGTGAAGACACCCTGCTACCTTACTCAAACGAAAAGCCAAAGCCAGACCCAGTGACTTCTTAAAGCTTACGGTGGTATACACATTTCCTTTTATGCTTCCACACGACTCTAAGCTCCCCCTGGATTTTGGTGGAACCATTTGTCTCGCATCACCTCAACCCCCGAACACAATTTCCTTCCAGCCACGATGCCTGTCCAAAATCTGTGTTGCTGATCGAACGGGGTAGTTTATTGTCAAGAAATTCTGATCCGAGCACCCTCCCATCGTACATGTTCCGCCAAAATTGTGGTGAGACGTACTTGTGTGTTCTACTCGTTTTTCTTAATCATCCCAGGCATCATCCGCAACGCCTTTCTTCGGATCAACCGAAGCTACCAGCATATGCTTGTACTTGTCATCTACCCGGACAGTGGTAGAGCCAAACGTACCGACGCCGGAGGTCCCTGTTAGCCGGCCTTCCTTGAAAGCGGCAGCTTCCTCTCTCTCTTTCCTTCGTGCGGCCTATCAATGAATGGTAATGTCGAGCCTTAGAAAGCTTCAGATAAACATACCTTTCCAGTTGCAAAAGCCATAACATTTCCAGCCTCTGCCTCTGCTATTGCTTTCCGAATCTGTGCGACCAGAAACTGTAACAATGATAAAACAACGTTAATAAGCGCACTGGAAATCTAAAGCGACATACAGCATCTCGATCGGTGTACAAAGATGTCGCTCGACCGCTTGCACCAGCTCGCCCTGTCCTTCCAATGCGGTGGACGTAATCCTCCATAACCTTGAACAATTTGACTAATACGTCAGGACAAAGCAAGTAACACTACCAACGGACCTTTGGAAGATCCAAGTTCACAACATGTGCAACTCCGGTAACATCAAGACCACGCGAGGCGACATCAGTTGCTACCTATCAAGAAAGCAAAACACAAAAGTGGCGACCGTTCGAAAAATGCGATATAGAAAACAAACCAGGATACTGATTGCACCCTTTCGAAAATCTCTCAATGCAGCTTCTCTTTCGCCCTGAGTTCTTCCACCGTGAAGGGCTGCTGCTTTGAGTCCCTGAGCTAACAGAGCATCCGCAACATCGTCACACCTTGCCTGTAATAAACTGGATTAAGAACGGACGACGTTTTCATCTTGCGAACTTACCTTTCTTTCCACGAAAACAATCGTAAGAGGCGGAGGCTGCCCTGCTCGTTCAGATTGATTTGACGACTCCACAAGCATCGCGAGAAGGTAGTCAATCTACATATACATGTATCATAGTCCGTGATATAGGATCATTTTTTACCTTGTCTTTCTCATCAACTTTCTCGAGAGACTGTAGAACATTTGAGGTTGGACTGCTCACTTTCCCAACTTTAACCTGAACAGGTTTTGTCAGATACTCCTGAGCAAGAGCTTCAATCTCCTCCGGCATCGTAGCACTGAAAAGGAGCGTCTGATGCTTTTTAGGAAGATTTTGCATCACCTACAACGACGACCACTCAGCAATGAAAGAAAAAGTACCAAATGCAGCATACCTCCTTAATCTGGGGTAAAAAACCCATGTCAAGCATTCTGTCGGCTTCGTCCAGTACAACATACGATACTCTCAACAAAGAACTATTTCCTTGCTGAAGATGGTCGATAAAACGGCCAGGTGTAGCTACAACCACTTGAACTCCAGATCGCAGCTCGGATCTCTATGAAACGGCGAAAGAAAACATAAACAAAACTTTCACTTGAAACTAAAGTATTACCTGCTCTCCGATATGAGTTCCACCCACAACTATAGCAGTCTTGAAGCCATCTGTTGATCGGCTGAATGCCCTCACCTAAACAATACATTAGGCAGTGAGAATAATTCATTGCTTCACACGCACCTCTTTCTCGATCTGTTGGGCAAGCTCACGAGTCGGTGCGAGCACCAAGGCCAAAGGCCCATCACCATGACGAATAGGAGGTTGAGCGAGACAATGCTGAAACGGGCACCGAGAAGTAAGCAAATAAGTCGTATCAAAACAGCAAGAAAACCTGAATCATCGGGATAGCAAAAGCAGCAGTTTTGCCACTTCCAGTCTCAGCACATCCGAGCAAGTCTCGTCCAGAAAGAGCCACAGGCATAGCCTGCGCTTGGATTGGAGTTGGATTAGTGTACTCGTGGAACGCAATGTCTTTCATGATATTCGCATGTAAACACTGCAAGGGAGAGATCCAGAGCCAGATCTTAGTCACTAAAAGTAGCAGTATGCTCTTACCATGTCCTCGAACGTTTCCACCGGCGCCTGGGCAGCCGGCGTGCCGTCAGTGATTTCCACATCGACATTCAGACGCGCCCTCACATCCGCGATCTAGCACCAGAGAGACAGGGGAGAGATCCAGCAAACGAGGGTTTAGGGTTTTTCCCCGGGGAGAGATACTCACCTGATCGCTCTGCATTCTCCTCACGCGCTCCGATGGCTGCCACCGTGACCACACCGCCTCCGGCGGCGGCAAGCCGCGGGTATCGCGGCTCGGGAAGGGCCATTTCTCGCGGCCGTAGCCATTCCCCGACGCGAATCCATTCGCGTCGGGCCGATTCCTGCTGTAGCTCCCAAAGCTGCCCCCATAATCCCGATCCCTGCTCCCAAAATCCCCAGAGGACGATCGCTGCGACGGCGATGGCGACGCGGGCGTGGCGGCTCTTGAATTGGACGAGGCTCCCGACCTCAGATGTGGAGGAATATATGGCATGGCGGCACTCTCTCCTCTCTCTCTCTCGCGCAACCAGCTATGGCAAAGATCACAAACAGCTCAAACCCTAGGGCAAAAGCATCGAGTGGCCCAAATCCGCGCGCCCTAGAAGCGTACGGTCGCCAGCCCCACCGCCCGTACAAACTAACTCTTGTTTCACTTGAAAGCGTTGTGGAAGAGGCTGCTGGGCGACTCGATTTGCACGATGTGCTCCTCCTCCTCGTCGCCGGAGGAGGCGTCGCTGGAATCGCTGGACAGCTGCTTCTTCCGGAGCTTCCGCCGCGTTCTCAGGGCCGGGAGTGGCGGAACCGGCGGCGCTGAGATGAGCGGCAGGCTTCCTTGAGGCTGGAGTTCTCGCGGCCTCTCGAGCGAGCGTCGCGGGACTCCTCCCGGGAACAAAGGTGGGACGGCTTGAGGCTGCTGTGGCCATATCTGGCCCGTGCTTCCTCGTTTCCACGCGCTCTCCACCTGCGTGTATGTATCTCTAGAACTTGAGTGACGAACATAAAAACGAGGAAGTGTACCTTGATTTCTTCAAGAACGTTGGCTTCGTTCGCCTTCGTTGTTGTTGCCGAGCCTTGCCTCATCCGAGCAAGGATCTGCTGCTCCGAGTTCCGGCTTTGATCCGACCCGTGCCTTCCTCGGTACCTCAAGCTGAAGCTGCTGTCATGCCCGATTGCACTGGATCGACGGGAAAGCAAGGACTGCGAAGAAACTCTCGTGTGGAAGTTGTGCCTGATGAGAACCAGACGAGAGCGCGTCTCTACGTGAAATATGTTTCCGTAAAAGACACCGTTGCCAGAAACCTTCCGCTCTGTGCCAGGAAAAATTAGATTGTTAGAGGGCGAGAAATTTAGAAAGAAGGAACCTGTCTCGTGGCTGGGACAAACAATTCCAGCCGGGGCTCCGATTATTTCGTTTTCCCCGTCCTGCTTGATAAATCCTTCAATAAGAAGGCCTATCTCGCAAACTGGTACTTCAATAATCTCTCCGCGGATGAAAGATATCATGCTAGAATTCTGGACAATGACTCGGAGCTCATGCATAGGCATTGCTTCGAAAAAATCCGGTAAAATTATCTTCAAAACCGGAAGGGTGCTTTCCTGCAATTAAATGCGGTGAGAATTCAACTCAGTCTTCTTAGCTTTACCTGCCAAAAAAACTGTTCCAGCTCTGTGTTGGCTTGTAAGATAGACAATACTTTAGACGCTTCCAAATAAAAGCACTGAACCACCGAGTCTGCGATCAAATCACAGAGGAACGACTTTCCCATGATAACTTCGTAAAGACCCAAAGTACTGCCATGAGAAAACGTTGGATGCAATAGATGCCTGGAATTGCTACTAGTGTTCCACTGCAAACTCAACATACTTCAAGCATGGTCGCATCATCCAGGATTTACGTACCTTGACAATACCATTCGCTATAAGCCAAAGGCCGTCCGCACGAGAGCCTTCTTTATAGAGAACGCTGCCTCTCAGCTTCAGGAACTCCTTCGAGGAATTAAAAATCAGGGCTTGAATTTGGCTCGGAAGAGATGTTATAAAAGGCTGAGTACGCAAAAGATCTGCTCCCTTCGGCATTGAAACGCTTGGAGGATTTCTCAGTAACCTTTTCAAATCAGCCTGCAAGTGAGCTTCTGTCAGCTCTATTACCTTATACAATGAAAACACTTACCTGCACAGCATCGTGAAGATGCATTGTTTCGCTATCCTCGAGCAGACCGGATTTTTCCAAACTTTGAATATAGTCCGAGATGCGAAGTAAAATTGCATGGACAACTTGTTTGGTTTTCACAACAAGCAATACCTGCAAACATGTGTTCGACACTTACAAAGCCATACTGAGAAATGGATACCTGTGAAAATGTGAGACGTATACCCTCTAAAAACTGCTTAGCTTCGACAGTCTCTTCTTCGCTCTCTTTAATCACAATCTCTCCAACTTCCGTTTCTCCTGCCAAACAAAAACTTTTAGCATTAGGAGCACGCAAAGGCAGCTAATTCACCAGTTACCTATGAAAGCTCGTAGATGACGTCGAACAAGGAGATGAGCACGAAGAAACGCAGCACTAATGTAGCAACTAAGCTCCAGACGCTCCACAACCAGGTAAGTTAACAACTTCTGCGGCAAAAAGAAATTTCCTGTTTGTAGATGCTTCAAGTAGCTGGGGCAGTGGACATGGGGATGCACACCGCTCCAGTCCGAAAGAACATCCTGCTTGGCGACTCTATCCAGAGCCTCGTCCACGGACTGCATTAGCAGCAGGGCAGCCGTCTGTGTGATTCTTCCTTCTTCAAGCATCACCCAGTAAGCCGCTTGTACTCCTGCAAAGCACGAAACCGCGGCTTCAATGGCCAGAAGAAAGAGTCACTTGGTCACCATTTAGGAAGCGCAGACGGAGGTCTTGCAGCTGTGTCTTACGCGTGTCACCCTCGCTAGTCGGGGCATCCTGGGGATGGATACGCGCTTCGTCTTCTGGAAGTCGATTCAAGCAGCTTATATATTTGCGCACGGTCGGCCAATCAGCGGGACCAAGTTCTTCGTCTTCTCCAAGCTCTTCGAATGCTTCAGCTGCCTTGCTATTCACTTCGTAGTTTACGTGCTCCAACACAAGCCTCTGCGAAGAAACACACGTCAGCATACGATGCACTGTGCTGCAAAAATTGTACACACCTTCGTCTCCGAGGTTTTCTCCATGTGGAGAAACTTCAAAAGAAACTGTGTTGACGTACCGTTCACAATGAGCGTTAGGAAAACCACGCCCCCTGTAAAGAAGACAAACTAGCGGACGAAGCACAATCAGATGGACGGCTTACACAGCTTACAATGATATCTAACCTTTGCTTGTATTCTTCCTGCGACACTCTGATCATTTTCACTTTCCTGGAATGAAAAGAGCTTTGATTCAGAAAGCTCAGATCTTCCAGTAAATTACCTTTACAGAAAGTGACAGAGCAAGTGCTACGGCACCTCGAAGACCAGACCAGACTAGTATAAGAGCCTCCTTGAAACTTAATCCATATCCGTAATAACTCAAGCCGGGATACAGTGCAATCACTACCAATGCCCGTGATAGCTGTAGAAAGAAGTACAAACACAGCAAATATGCCCAGTCGCGACCTGTCGAACGCTGTGAAAAAGATGCAAAGAGTTGACCCTACATGCCAGGCACCTTCAATTTCTGATTGACTTCGCAGGAAGCTTTCCGCAATGACTACGCCACTGATTAACAAAGAACTGAGATCAACTCTACCGAGCACTACATACCTTAGGATGAAAATAACGGTATTTGCAAAGTATGCAATGATGGTCCTGTAAAATTAATTGTGGAATAAGAAGCCTTCATTGTTTTTAATGTAATATGGTTTTAGTCGCAATACCAAAAGCAATGCATACTCTGTTGGTTTTCACCTTTGAAAGCAGCCCTCCCAAACGCTGCAAATAACCTGATAAGTTGGATCGCATAAATAGTTAGAAGAAAACAATGTTCGAAGATCTCACTTACATGCCAACCGTCATGACTGCCAGCACTCCAGAAACACCAGCAACATGCTGAGCCTATTTCCACATAAAACACGGACTGAGTACATTGCAGCAGCGAAGATGCAAACAATCAAAAAACATACTATGAAGAACGCACAATAACTTGCTGTGAAAGTCAGCGTGATTTCTATAACGGTATCGTTAAACATGATCCCGAGCCAAAAGATCGACAGCATTCCAAAAGTCATGCCCAGAGCCACGCTGCAGCAACGAGAAACAAGTAAGAGAAAACACAAAACAATTCATCTCTTCGCACTTACGATCCCAATGCAACTTGAGACAAGAATTTGCAAATGTCGCCAGCAGAGAAATGTTTCCCGAGCACCATTTGATGGAAAAGCTCAAACACCACCATTGCTGTTCTGCATCCCAACAAAATTCACGAAAACACATGAGCAACTGATGAGAAAAGCTGAAGGTACAAACCCATCGTTCATCAATGCTTCCCCCTCAATTATCGTGCTCAGTTTTTTGCTTGCCTTCACATCTCTGAGAAGAGAGACAACCGCTACAGGATCCGTGGCACTGAGAAGCCCTCCCAGTAATAAGGACACACTCCAGCTCCATCCATAAGGAAGAATAAACTAAACAACCACAACACTGTGAAACGATAGTAAACTCTTAAAAAACGTGAGGAAGAGGTCTTACGTGGCTGAAAAGCCCCAGACAAAATGTTGAAATGACCACTCCAGGGCCCGCGAGGAGTACCATCTGTAACAAGCATCTCTATCTCCAGGCAAAGAGCAAAACAAAACAGGAGAAGATTGCAAAAGTTTGATCCAGTTCACGAGAAAGATGGCTTCTCGCGTACCTTGATTTGATGGACTTCCATGGAAAACGAGCTCTCGAAAAGAAGAGCCGGCAAGAACACGTAGAGAATGAGATTGGGATGAATGTTCGACCCTGCGAAAGAGATTGAAAACCATACAAAGAAAAAAAGAGACAATGGAGGAGCTTACACAAGCGAATGCTATGGCCGAGAGATCCCAGGCCCCGTTGAGTTCCATATTCTAGGTGGAAAACCATAGCAACAAGAGATAGATTGTGAAGAGAAAGAAGACATCGATCGATTACCCAGAGCGCCCAGCCCCATTCCAATCACCAGCAGCGCCACAGTGTACGGAACCTTGGTCTTGTGCAAGATTTGCCTCGACACCGTCCCAATCGCCAGCGACACGACGACGAAGAGAATCGCCGTCTCCGGCCCCCATTTCTCGATCGCAGAGGGCGGATTTTCGGCGTCCAATGCTGCGACGTTCAATCGCGATCCCGTGGTGATCGCTGCCATCTCCAAACTCTCTTGAGACCATACAAGCTAGCTAGCAAGAACCCTAAAATATTTTTGATTAATGCGCTCTTGCCGGCTATGGCGATGGCGGCGATGACGACTAAGGCGCTGGAATGGCGCTCTCCCTGGCGGCGCTGGCTCGACGGACCTCGGCTGCCACTCTCGATGCGGCGATTCTCAGGTTCTTATCCTCCTCCGCTGCTAGGTTCTCCACTCCATCGCCGCCCCGGATTTCCAAGACTCTACCCAATCTCGACGCCATCGCTGCCGCATTGCGAAGCAGCCAGCACGGGGAGGTGCTGACGCACATCGGCGGACGCCTCACGCTCTTCCTCTTCCTCAAGGTGATTCGCAGCCTCAGGGACGCCGATGCGTGGGTGATCTTCTTCGACTGGGCTGGCGCACAGCAGGGATTCCTCCACAAGCCAGTCACTTGCAATGCGCTGCTCGATTTGCTCGAGAGAGCTCGCCGGAGCGAGCAGATTGTGGTGGTCTTTGGGAGGATCTTCTCGCAGGACTGCAAGCCCAACGCTCTCAGCTACTGCTACCTGGTGAAAGCCCTGTGTAGGACGGGAAAGATCGACAAGGCGTGTAGCACCATAGCCGAGATGGCCAGGGAGAAGCTGGTCCCGGATGTTTTCACGTACAACGTGGTGATAGACACACTCTGCAAAGCACGGAGGATCTCTCGAGCGATCGAGTTCTTCGAGACAATGCCCGAGCCGGATGTGGTCACCTACAACACGCTGCTTGGTGGGCTCTGCAAGAACGGCAGAGTGGCTCAAGCGTGCTCGTTGTTTGGAAGCATGGAGGGCGCTGGTATCACCCCAAGCGATGTGACTTACACCACTCTCATCGACGTCTTCTGCAAGATGTGCCAGTTTGAGACCGCCTACGGCCTCCTCCAGCTGATGGCGTCGAGGAAGTGCTCGCCGACCGTCTACTCGTACTGCTCGATCATCAACGGGCTGTGCAAGAACAGGAAGGTGGATCAAGCGTATCAGCTCTTCGAGGAGATGAAGCTAGCGGGTTGCAAGCCGGACAGAGTGACTTACAACACTCTGATCCACGGGCTTTGCGTCAAGCAGAGGCTCCACGAAGCGAAGGACCTCCTGACGGTCATGGTGGAGAATAGCTTCCAGCCGGACAAGATCACTTTCACGGCACTCATCGAGGGCCTTTGCACGACGGATCGGATTAAGGAAGCCTTCGTGCTGTTCCAAGGCATGGCAAAGCAGGGATGCGCTCCGGACCTCGTCACTCACACCGTCCTCGTCTCCAAGCTGTGCATCCGGCGGAAGCTCCGCCCGGCCTTGAGTGTGGTACGCAACTATCCGGCCTGTCCCGAGGCAGTGATTCTTTACACTCCCATTTTCAGGGAACTCGGGAGGAGGAGAGGCTTTGACCGTGCGGCAAGGCTGCTACAGAAGATGGCCAGGAGAGGCGTCGCTCCAAACGTTGTGACTTACACCGCGTTCTTCAAGGGGCTGGGCGACTGGAAAGAGGGAATGCGAGCGTACCGGGAGTTTAGGCGGATGCTCGAGCAGGGAATAGAGCCGGACATGGTGGCTTACAACGTTCTGGTGGACGGGTTTTGCAAGGCGAATAGGCTGGACATGGCAGAAAAGATGGTGAGGTACATGGATCAGAGTGGACTCCCTCCAAACATCGTCACTTACAACACGCTCGTCGGCCACCACTGTAGGAAGGGGAAGGTGGAGGCCATTGGCGAGCTCCTCCACACCATGGTTAGCAGGGGCCGGCAGCCCGACGTTGCGACTTGGAGCACGCTGGTGGCGGGGCTCTTCAGGGTCGGGCAAGTGGACGCGGCGTATAGCTTTCTTAACTTGGCCATGTCCCAGGGCTACACTCGGGAAGCCTTGAGGTTCAAGGCGGCAACAAAGTTCAAGTGGTGAATGGCGTTGACAGAAGAGCGTACGTTTTTTGGATTGTAAATTCTAAGGTTTTCCACACAGGCCTTAGAACCCAGCGCAGCAATGAACGCTATAGATGCCAAGAAACACCCTGTGCGCTCACACACCTCTGAGGCTCAAGAACTACTGCCACTAGCGAGCTAGTGTCACCTTCGGGATCAGCTACTCACTGCCGAGCAATCTCGCGCGAAAGAAGTGTTTGACAGCATGATCCAATACGTGCTGCGAATATCAACAAAAACATCAATGAACTGAGAAGTCACATACCATGAACACAGTCCCGGCCAGGGCTTCCCGCGGGTTTAAAGTCTTGCTCTGTAACTCAATATGGAGATCAGTTCAAGAATCACATACCTTTTTTGTTCATCTACAACAAAAACAGCAAAGTCGCCTCCACCCGCAGCAACAAGCCTGTTGCCTTGTATTTGTAGTTCTTTTCCTGAAACGTTCTTCATTAGCTTGACAACACTCGATGAGATCGAGAATAAAAGCTTACTCTAGAAAGCCGTCCGTATGGCTTTCTCACAACATACTTTCCAGCGTTCAGTTCAGCTATCAACTTGAAGTAGTGTTCTAAGAGATCTGGTTGATCGGGCATGCAAGACTCATCGACATCCCTCAGATGAAAATGTTGGCCTTCCTGTCAGACCTTGGAAGACCTTCCTGCAGTGGAGCTTGATAAACTGGAACACTGAAGCAACTGCAATTACCTGTGAGTATAGAGAACATTCACAGCCTTATAGATATATCCGGTTCTCATGATGAATGGCACCGATGGATGTGCCCTCTGCAGTGTGGTAAGCTTTTGTACAATCTCCAAGTGGGAATGAGTGATCTCGTTCAAGCTCTTCGACCATTTTTTCTTCCGTTTTCGAGAATAGAAGTCGTAGAGGTTTCTCAACGTATTGTTTCTCATCATTTGTCCAAGCTAGAGTTTTGGAAAGAATAAGGAGTTTCTAATCGGACATGTACGCAACACTGGCTGCAACACAATCAACCCGCAAGGGAGAACACAAAAGTGCCAAAAGGCTCAGGCTTGACAGGAGAACGGTATTGGGAACGGGAACGAGAACGAGACCTGTGTCAAGAAGACTCTCCTGGGAGAAAAGATCGAGCATACTCAACTATGACTTGAATCAGCAACCCATCCAGATCCCGAACTCGAATGCAACTTCCTGCGGTCGTGCAAATTCCACAAAACCGTAGCTTCCCTTCACATAGACGCTAAGAATCCTGCAAGGACAAGTGTATGATGGGTACCTTCTTTGCAACGTGATGATACTTTAATTCCTCAACTGAGGAAGAGGAAGTATTTTTATGCTACCAAACTCCATGCAGAGCTGAGATTACAAATGTTCCTAGCGAGACACAACTACATCGGTGTTTCTAAGTTGCTGTGGGTGGATAATTTGGTAGAAAGGATTAGCGGTTTGGCTATCCAAATTCTAGTTGGAGGGTTTAGAACTAGTGAGATGACGCCAGATCAAAATGTGCTAGTTATGCTTGGTATTTCCCCATATAAATGAGACTTGGTCCTTTTCTAGCATCCTGGGACAAGTAACGGGTTTGATCGAGCCAGATCAAACCAGAAAACTCTTATCTTTTCACAGTGGACATCGACGCTTCTGATCGAGTAGAAGCACTGGCCAGCCAGGAGTAAGCCAACCATTCATAATATAACTAAGTAATATGCCTGAAGTGATTGGAAGTAGGCTCGTTTGAAATTAGAGCTTCCATGATTGCGCGCAATGGATTCAGGAGTTGTTATGCCCCATGGCTCAGATTAAAAGGGCCGTGGCGCTCGCACCCCATGACCGATACAGCCTCCTTACATAGCATCTCAGTTCACGATCTGTGCATCCAACTCTGCAAATCATCGGGGACTGCGACTACGGCTCCGGCTATGTTGGCGTCTTCGAGAACGGTCCCAACTGCGACTACGGCTCCGGCTATGTCGGCGTCCTCGAGAACGGTCCCGACTGAGACTTCGGCTCCGGCTATGGCGGCGTCTTCGAGAACGGTCCCGACTGAGACTTCGGCTCCGGCTATGCCAGCCTCTTCGAGAGCGGTCTGTACTCCGACTATGACTTCCGCTATGATCCTGGCTCCGGCCCGGCTACGATAAAAATAATTGAAAGATCAAAACAAAAGCAACCATTCACCTCATCGTACCTCTGAGGCTCAAGAACTATTGCTACTAGCGAGCTAGCGTCACCTTCAGGAGCAGCTACCAACTGCCGAGCAATCTCGAGCGAAGGAAGTGCCATTACATTTTCGACAGCCTTGCCACGATGAGCCAAAACGAGAAACTGCTTTCCGTCCAATATGTGCTGCAGCGCAAGGAGAATATCAACCAAAAGATCAATGAACTGAAGTCAGATACCATATGTACAGTCCCGGCCAGGGCTTCCAGCGGGTTTAGAATCTTGCTCTGTAACTCAATATGGAGATCAGTTCATCATCGAGAGCCGAGAATTACGTACCTTTCCTTCATCTACAACAAAAACAGCAAAGTTGCCTTCACCCGCAGCAAGAAGCCGTATAGCTACCATCGTAGTTGTGTAGTTTGCCAGCCACAACCGGAACTAGTACAACGGGAACAATCAAGAAAGGACCAGCCAAAACAGTTGGATTACCTTAGATTTGAATACTTCAATGGGCCGCTCCCCATCAATATAAGGTTCATCTTCTTCCCATCTATCGGCAAAGGGTTTTGGCTTAGTATGTTAGCATTACTTGGAGAAAGCCGTCCGTATGGCTTTCTCACAAAAGCCATACTTTCCAAAAGATGTCGCGAGCTCGTTCCCCATGACATCGATTTTCTCTTCCATAAAAGGAAGGGCCTCTGGCAACAAGGCAATCTGTATGAGAAACAGGATCATATGGTGATAAACCTCCTCCACCAGGCTTCATGCAGGTGAAGGACCGTAGTCGGCCCTCCTTGGCAATCTAGCTGCAACACTTCCTGCTGCTAGCCAGCGATTAGGGAAACTATTCAATGGTGCTGCCAAAACCTTGCAGTTTTCAGGTGATTCCTTTAGGCCCTCACCCACCTAACGCCGTTCACTTCTCCACTAGGAATGTCTACCTTTGCCCCGAGCTGGGAAAAAGAGGTTTAGGGTTTTTGCTGCTGAGCTAAATTAAAAAGCTTAAGGGCTGTCCGATCTTTTATATAACTTGGGCATTTTTATTTCCTGGGTGTAGGACTGGTACACAAGCCACTGGCGGCTACGTTGAAGAGGACGCATTCTGAAGCAGAGCCTCGTGCAGCGTGCCTGGAATTTTTACGTGGGCGCGAGGCTGCTCCCGGAAGTAGAAGGTGGGCGTTTCTGGTGGCATGAGCTCGATGTAACTCCTGTTCTACTGGAAGGTAAAGCTTTTTCAATCTTACAGAATTTGAAACGCTTTCTTGTGCAGAGATGCTGGAAGTGACAATCTTAGCCCTGCCGAGCAACGAAACGGGAGAAGCAGCAGAGAGAATGGAGCCACTTTCACTTCGAGCCAAACATTCGGCTAGAACAAAATTTCGGTGTTCGCAAGCAGCAAGTAAGCAGTGGCTTCATCGAGCTCGAGCATTTGTCGAGCTACCATTTCTCAGCAACCCACCACACACCAGTAGTGCTCGTGTGTCAGAGATATCCCAAAGCTGGAGCGCAGCGACAGGAAGCACTGTCTCCCGTCCTCGTGGGTGTAGCCGACAAGGACGGCGTCAAATGTCGCTCCCAGCCGTCACGCATATGCCTCGGCAAGAGACGTCCACGTCCGTAGCAGTCATGTTCTCGACAGCAGGTTGACAAAGGGCATCGAGTCAAAAACACTTTTTGCTTGCTTGCAATGCCGGATTGTGATTTGGATCGTTCCCCGAGACAACGTATCACCTAGATACCCTTCCTGGGAGACAAGATTCCACGATACAGCATCGTGCCGAGGGATATTCTTGAAGAGTACTAGACGGAATCTCTTGGAGGCATCTTTTCCATGTGCAGCCTCGCCTCTCAAGATCACCCACCAGAGAACTCGCCTGCATAACCAGATTCCAGGAAACTATCTCAGTCGAGCATAGACTCAAATTCCTGCTCCGTTTAGAGAATATACTGCAATCACAGTGCGTTAAAGAGAATAGGTTGGATTGAACTGACGTCTACCAGGAATTGGAGCAGCACAGTCCAGGACACAACATCTCTTTCCTGCATCCCTTCAAAGCATTGCATTGCTTGTAAATGATGCCTGGTGCAGCTCCCAAAGTCCCTCCTAAGTGATTAAGGTAAATCTGTCCTTTTTTACCAATTTGTGACTGCTGCTTTTGAGGGCAACATTAGGACGAAAAGGACACCATTTAGGTAAGAAACCAGCATGTACTTCTGCCATGCCCCTACAACAGAACCCTGGTAAGGACCACAGTACAAGCGAACTGCCACTCGTGCACATGAATTTATTTAAACTGTCCTGCTGATCACATTGCACTGGGGCATTGCAGCAAATATTTCAAGTACGGCCACAAGATGCTCTTGACAAGCATTTGCTTGCAATATGCTCGTCCCTGCATGGCATTCTTTGAAAGAGAATTTCAATGATGCAGAGGTCCCAGCATGAGTCAAGCGCAGCCAGCATAGTGTTCCACGAGACAATGTCGCAGTGGGCATTGTGTGAAAAGCAGCCTAAAAGTGTGACAAATGCCCAGTTCAGGCACTTGCCACAAGGAGAGTATTCCAAGAGTGGAAGTTCAGAATCTGGATCACATTGAATGTGCTGGTGGCCAGTTGCGGAGTTTGGCAAGGTATCTGTCAGATAGTAAAGATCATAGCTAAGTTATGTACATGTATATATACCCAATCATATATATATATCATGTATATAATCATCTTTGCTTTCATGGTCTTAATCTTGAGCATGGCATTTACTGGCTAGGAGGCCAATGATGAGGAGGAGGAGGAGGATGAGCCTTTTAATTCCAATACAAGTGCTAGCTTTAGGAACAGTGTCTCATCCAGATTAGAGGGATATTATCTCACAAGCATGGCATCTAAGCATGCACTTTTGTGCTTGTCCAGCTGTGGCCAAGTTGCTCTAGAGACAAACTTGGACACTTCATAAGCATAACCAATATCCCTTAAGATGAATTTCCTAACAACATTATCAAACTAGTTTTAAAATCTTGTTGCTTTGGGGATAAGTGGCATAGTACACCTCAGATCTGCAAAAAACTACTCAATGCTTAGAATTGTCAATCTTCTCACTGAATGAATAGTGTGTTTTATTTGTTTAGTGATAAGAGACAAAAGCTACCTAAAGTATGTGAATTAGTGAGTTCATGTAATAGGTTGCTCCTTGATTCTTCAACTTGATAAAACCAGTCTTCTTTTTCAAATTGTAAGCCCAATAGTCCATCACCTTCTGAATATTTTTCTGCCTTTACATCCTCTATAAGATTGTGAAATAGTATGTAAGCCCAAGTATCTGGACAAAATGCCCAGCCCAACCTTAAATCCCAATTACTTTTTAGCTGTAGTAGCTTTGTGCATGCATAGTTTTTGTTTGAACTGGCTAATGATAAATTGTGATTATGGTGAAGTAATGTCTTGGTAGATGGACAGATCTCTACATTGTTTCTATATTGCAATTCACAAAATACTCATTTATCACACGAAGAAAAAGAAAGGAATAAAGCTCATTGTACATGTATTAGATAATTCTATTAGAGCAATGCTTTATCATAGTAATTCTCAAAAAGTTTGGATGTGTTCTTTTCTTCTAGGGCTGCAAAGTTTGCCAAAGTGATAGAAGATTTGAATACTTTCATGAATATTTCTAGACTTGGATATCAACCAAAAAAGAGCACTGCTACAATGTAACATAGCTGTGTAATTTGGATAGCTCACCCTCCAATCCTCCAAGTCAAAGTAACATTGCCATCCTAGTTGATATAGTGGGATCCAAGGTGCGTCATAAGAGTGCCCAACAAAGGATTGAGCTGGAGCCAATGAACTCACCAGACTGTGGCCTCTAACTTTCTCCTTGAAAGTGTTACAAATATTTGACAACTAACATAGTCTTGACCAAATCGTTCCATATCATCCAAGCTCCCTAAGTAATATATTCTAGCTGATGGCCAGAGAAATATATGATGCTATAACAACTCATTGATAGTGATTTCAATATCAATGTCTAAGAACCCAAGTGAGAGAATTATTCTATCAACCTAAATAATATTACATTTAGACTTCACAACTCAAAAATTATTAAAACATAATTAATTAAATTTAGAGTAATTTGTGTGGTCGCAAATGGTGACAACGGCTTGATGTTGATCTTCAAACAACTTTTCCTGGTTTGCTCTTTACTCATAGCGGATCATTTCCACGGAAAATTTTCCTTTCTTTGTTGTCTCGATCTCACCGATCTAAAGACAAGTGAGTTCGTCTCAAAAGCATTCCAGCAAGTTTGATACTAACCTGGAGTCTTCCTTTACCGGCGAGGGAGATAACATCCCCAGATTTCAAGCTCGTGTTGCTCTTTGTTGCCTCTTTCCAATTCAATCTTACGTCCCCTTTGCTGTTCAGAGTAAAAGCCCAAGCCAAACAGTCCGATGCATTAGCTTCCATCTCTTCAACTCTACCTTATCAAGTCTGCAAGCTTAGAACGCGAGAGCTTAAACCCTGCACTGGCAACAGCGTCCAGCCTCAACGATGCTTCCACAGATTTCAAAGCCTTCACCCTTTTCAACACGAATGTTAGCAACCTTCAGCAAAGTACTAGCTCTACCTTGGTTTATGGATTTCTATCTCGGCGAGTGGTATTTCTTTGCATTGGACTGAAATGGTTCTCACCTGTGTGAAACATAACTAGCAAGTGAAAATCCTCACGACGAATTCTACCACTTGCCTGCTTGAGAGAGGCGATAAGATACTCGACGAGCTCCGGGACGACTAGGATTTGCGCACCTTGAGAACAATCCTTGTAACAGTAAATGTCATCTTACACAGTCGCAAAGATAGAACTTACCAGAACGATAATGTCTCCAACTTTCTCGCGAACAATTCCAGTTCCCAGGACTGCTCCAAGAAAATCCCCATGGTTGGCTGCATCATGGACGAACTTGCCAGAAACACTGCAAAGAAATCAAGCAACATGAAAGCTATAGCTGGGATATATGGAATGGTACCTCAATGCTGATACTGCTCCAGGATATCCACCGGCGCTGCATTGGGAAGCTCTTATCAGATCGGCAGGGCCAAGTGATAGACGACATCTTTCAGCCTGGAACAAAGTTTCACAAAGTTTTCCATTTTTGTTTTTGTTTTGATCGTCTCTACCTGAGCGTAGCCACCGGAGACGACCACTCCAACATCCGCGAGCTTTCTCACGCACGCAAGCGACTCTTGCAATGCGGGCGGTGTCAGGAAATCCGTGTGCAAAACCTCTTGCCTCTCGACAGCTCTGTCTGCCTGTTTGCCAGCAAGAAAACATCACTCACTACCTGGTCAAACGTCTACGACGAGATTACCTTCTCAAGCACACGCGAAAGATCCGCTTGACAAGAACAGTACAATCTAGCCGCTGCAAATCACACACTTTCCTCCACACACTCATCCTCGTATCAAATCCGAGCAATGCCACTGACCTGCTGGAGCGCGCCATCGCTGCCGCGCGCCCAGAACAAGTGCCCCGTGCGCGTGCCAACACCACAATCGAAGAATCATCTCCCCCAAGCTTAGGGTTCTAAAGAACGATATAAGCACAAAGAAATTTTCAAATGGGCCTTTTCAAACGCTTCTACGCATTTTTTCCTTTTCATTATAGGTAATTACAAAAGGAGGAAGTTTAGCACCCTCCTTCCTACCTACCAAGCAAAATTTTCTCCTTTTCCCTCTCTTGTTCCTAGTGTACACTCCCTCCTACCGACCAACCAACTGAACCGACCAACCCGCTAGTATTCCCCCAAGCGTGAAACGAGCAAAACGATCGAAGAACATAGAAAGAACGATCGCCCTTGCTCAAAATCTTTCCCCGCGAGTCTCCCGACCAGGGAATTGGGGGCGAAGTATTAGCTGGGAGGATCGAACGACACCTCCCACGGCATCAAATCGTCCATGGCCGCTGGCTGCTGCTGGCACTGCTGCTGCTGCTGCCAAATCTGGCTCGTGTTCCTGTCATAGTCCTCTCCCTCCACAATCCGCATGAGTTCCTCCGGATCGATGAGCTCCTGGAAGTCCTCGCACTCGCTGAAACCCAAGTCGTCCATGATCGCCAGCCCCTGCGACTGCTGCTGCTGCTGGGACGACGACGAGGAATCCTCCTGCTTCATCTCCCCTGGCTCCTCTTTCACCCTCACGCCCTGCTCCACCGACGACGAATCATACGAGGATGGCGACTGCATCGACTGGAACGACGTGGAGATGCTGCTCTCGCCATCGTCCTCCTCCATCTTGACACCCGGGTCACAATCCTCCTCCTCCTCCTCCTCCTTGATCGCCATCTTCTTCCTGGACGACGTCTGCCGCGATGAATCCAAGTTGATCGCTTGCGATCGCTGGCCGCCGGCGCTCCCAGAGACTGGGAGATTGAGGCGCGCGCACGATCCATAGAGCACCCGCGCTGCATCGTCGTAGGCCATCGCCGCTTCCTCGGCAGTGGCGTAGGTCCCCAGCCACAGCCGCGATCCTCGATTGGGCTCTCGAATCTCCGCGACCCATTTCCCCCACGTCCTCTGGCGCACGCCCCGGTAGTGGCACAGGGGATTCTCCGGCCCGCCCTTGCCCTTCATGCATCCCTTCTTGGAACCCTTGGCCGGCGCCTTCTTGATCGATGATCCTGCTGGAGAGCACGCCCAGGATGCTAGCGCGTCGGCGGCCGCGCCGTTCTGGATGGAATGCATCATCCCAGTGGAGTTCTTGCGGCGGCTGCGCGTGAATTTCGCCCGGCTAGACGGGGAGTCCGATTCACCCCCAGACATTGGAGGGAGCGAGGATGAAACCCTGGAAAGAATCATCGGAGCTGACTCCTGGAGGGCGCGCTTCCGCTTGATCCCTGCCCGCCGCCGCTGCTGCTGCTCCTCCAGGCGATCGCCAATTTCATGAGATATCTGGAGAGGGAAGCCGAAATGTGAGTGCTTCCCTAGCTTGCGCTCAAAGCAATCTCGAGAGGAATCGAAAGAAAGAAGAGCGGAGGAGGAGCGCGGAGAGATTCTTACCAAGAGATTGCTGGGAGGGGAAGCAATCTTCTTCCTGGCCGCGCCGTTCACAGTCATGCAATCGCGTTTTTTCAAATCGGATCGATGGGAAGAGCTCGAGAAGAAACCCTATCGCGGATTATATCCCCCACCGATTGGAAGCTTCGCCGCTGCTGCCCTAGAAAGCTTCTAGAAATCCAAGCTAGCAGCTCCAAATCCAATTGCCTCTTGCTTCTTCTCTTTTCTTGTGATCCTTTCCTAGCGCATTTAAAGATGCCACACGGAACCCTAATTTATACCGTGCTAATCCAACGCCCCAAAAAGCGCGGTGTTATTTGGAAGAATCTTCGCCGTGGATGCACCGGCGATGGGATACCTTTTCCGGCTAACGGGCAGACGTGGCTGGGTGCTGCCCGGACACGAAAGCATCCACGTGGACAGTTGTGCGGGCCAGAAAGAGACACGTAGTGAGAGAGGGTAATATCTGCCACGTGGGCGTATCGCGGACGCCGGAAGATTCTGGAGAGACGCGGTTACTTGTGGCACAAGAAACCACCAAAACGTGTCTTAGTTAATCTAACATCGATTAATATAACGCTCATTAATTTCAACTTAATGCTTATTATATACAACAAAAAAACTCTTGCTTGGATCAATCAATGGGACCATTAAGACCCAATCTTCCATCGTCTACCAATCTTCGTGAGCGTGACGCCTTTGAGACGTAAGCTTGGCGAGATGGTCCTCAGGTTCTTCTTGCAAATCTTTCGCGAGAGCCCTGAAACTCCAAGCCTCTGGGAGATCTTGTCGCCATCTCCGGGATTCTTCTTGTCGTCCTTGTTCCCAGCATCAGGCTTCCCGTGGCTAGCTTCCAATCTCTCGGGAGATTTCACGCCATCTTCCAGGCGATCTTCGTTTGCCGCCGCCGTGTCTTGCTGCTCGACGTCTCGATCGAGTGCTTCGTGAGGAGACGCATTCTTCTCAGCTACATCAATGCAACGCGAGTTACTTAGTTTGGATGAACAACTACTACTCATACCAGCGATTTTCGATCTGAGTTCTTCCACTGCCGCGATGAGATGCGTCACTGTGCCAGACAGCGTGCTCACCTCGTCCGAAACTTTGTTCATCTCGCTCCTCAGTTCCTGGAGATCCATTGTCACGCAAGTTCAAAGAAAGTGCCAAACTAGTCACTTACCGGCAAGCTGCCCTCCAACTTAGCTACATGGCGGCGTTGAAGTTTCCTGCAGTGCAAAAAACCTTAGCTTGACACACGGAGAAGTTTGGGAGACTTACCGCGCGGATTTATAAAGTTTGAGAGCTAAGAAGAGTTCGTCAGCACGCTTCTTCTCTGAAGCAGCTTTCTCCTTCTCCTTCTTGCAACGAGCAAGCAGAGCCTTTAACAATCTGGAGGTGAGAAAGTGCGCTGCCAAGGAAAAACAATGCTTGTACCTTGCATTGCCGCTTGATAGCACCCAAGTGTGCGTCATGGCATGCCGTTCGTACCGTCCTCGCGTGGGAATACGAGCTGCAAATGCCAAGAATGAGAGAAACGTAAAAGCTAGACTCAAGCTCACAAACCGGACAATGCTCTTCAAGGCACCAGCAGGATCACGTTGACGCACAAACCGTCTCTTCATCTTGGCAGGATCACGTCGACGCGAGCTGTCAAATGCAGTTTCAGGTGCTGCCATCGCTATGTCGTCCGGCTGTTCAGGTTCAATGGGAGTAGCACGCTCAGATGGCACTTCAGCTTCCATCGAAGTATGAAGGTCAGGTTCCTCTTGTACGGAAGCACGCATTTCCTCTTCCATGGTAGTAGAGTTTCCAGGATTCTCCGCAGTCGTGTTTTCAGGTTTCTCTGGCTCAAGCTCCTCCATCGTAGACTTCTCTTCAGCGTTTTCAGAAACTGGCAGCTCGTCTTCTTCTTCCCGTTGTGGCAGCGCAGTTTCTTCAGCTGGCACCTCAAGGTCCTTCTGCTCTAAAGAAGAGTTGTCAAGTTGCTCTGAAGCTGGCAGCTCCTCCTTCTCTGGAACCAGTTCCGAGCCAGCAGTCTGTGAGGCCAGTTCTGTCTGCGAGGGAAGCTCGTCCAGCGTCTCGGGTTTGCTGTTCAAATCCAAATCCTTCACAGCGTCCGTTGAGGCAGGCATCTCGACTTCTCTTGGAAGAAGCTCACTGCCCTCCATTTGATTCGGGACAAGCTGAGGTTCCACAACAGGTGCTATAGAGTCCACTTCCACTGAAACAAGGAACTCCTTTTCTTTCGAAGGTGATAACTCGTTCTCGCTTGCGTCCTTTGCGGCCACCTCGGCCTCAGTATCCATTGGAGCACTCATCTCCACCATGTCCACCTCCACAAGCTCAGCGGACTCGACTACTTCACGATCTTTTCCCTTCTCATCTGGATTTGTTTCCTGTTGCTCTACCGTCGTGATCACAGCTTCGCCAAGCTCGGCAGCAACGTTCTCCACGCACAGCACCTTCACGTGGCCGGACTCGGCAGTAACTTCTTGAGTCTCGCACATACTGGAATCAAACTCGACCACCTTCCTGAGAGCCGAGAGCTTAAAGTCGGCCTCGCCACCATTGCCATCATTCTCGTGATCCGTCACCACCACCCTGTACTCCACAAGATTTGAGTCTCCATTGCTTCTCTTCTCGTCCTCTGCAGGGATCGGAGCCACAGCAACGCTCGGAAAAGACATCCTGCTCTTTTTCTTGGCGACCTTTTCGCTCCTCGGCGAGGATTTGGCAGCGGAGCCTATCACCTTTTGTCCCTGCGTGGCCGCGACGTCCTTGAGCGTCGACCAGCTTTTCCTCTTCCTCTTCTTCGCGGTAGAAGTTTGCTGATCCGGGGTAGCGGGGTTGGAGGTCGGCTTGGATTTCTTGAGTGTGTTGTGGTGACCGCAGTAGCTGCAAATCCGGAAACCAGCTTTTTTGGCGGCGGAGAGCTCGTCACTGCTGGCGATGATCGTCTCACACCTGTATCAAAAGGTTGGATTAAAGTAGACACAGCCTGCAAGCACGAAGATCAGCCAGCATGCAAGGAAAAAAGAACAACTGCAAGATCGAAGAAGAAAACCACACTGGAAAATCCTTTCCATGATCCAGGCAAGAGGGAAAGAGGGCGTACCTTTGGCACTGGACCTGGTTCTTGATCGAAGCGCCCGTTTTCTCGCACGACGCTGCCAATCGATGGCCCCAGAGAGCGCCGAGAGGAGGAACCGCGGCCGACGCCCACTTTGCGATGCGGCTGAGGAAATCCGCCTTGAGCGATTGCGCTGTGCTCGCCGCGCCCGCGATCGCGCTGCTGGATTTAGGATTGGCGGATCGCCGCATCATAAATCCATGAAGAACCCTAAACCCCTGAAGAAGAGAAGAAAAAAAAAAAAAATAGGGCAAGGGTTTTAGCGATGGAGAGTGGAGGAGGAGCCCGGCGAGGGCGGACGGTGATCGATCCCAAGGTCCGGCAGGTTGGATTCGTGACGCCGGGCGAGCAGGACGGCCCCGCGGGGGTGTCGTCGTCGTCGGCGCAGGTAAATGCCCCGGATTCGCCAGCGCCGGTGATGATCCCGCCCGCGCCTCGCGTAGCAGTGCCGGCGGCGGCAGATCATTCTCCTCCAAAGCCCGCGGCTCCCGTGCCAATCCCGCCGCGCTCTCCGCCCCTGCCGCCCCGTAATTTCGATGCCGAGGATGAAATGCCACTGGGGAGTTATAACCCCGGTGGAGAGGGAGTTCTTGCGGGGAGCCCGAATAGCTCGTATGGGAAGGCTAGCAGCGAGAAGGCCGAGATTGGAGACCTCTCTCCCACGATGGTGGCAGAGTTGAATAGCAGCATGATGGAGATGAGTCTCGAGAGAAGCAAGTATGAGCTTCCAGTGCCGGAGAAGGAGAATGAGAGCACAGCCGACGTTATCAGTGAGCGAGTGGAAGTTCCAGCGATCAATAACAACGAAGGTAGCCTTTCTCTCGAGGAACTTTTGGGATGATCGAAAGTGTTTTCCAGGACCAGAGAACGATGCACGGCAAAGGAAACTCAAGGATCGGACGTCCAAGGCGGAGAGGCGGGCTTTGCAAGAGTCTCAGCGAGCAGCGAAAGAAGCGGCCAGAGCTTCTGGTAATCAGACCTTCTTCATGCCTGGTATGTGGGAAGCTGGGACTAACCCGTGTTTAGCACAGCGGCCGTAGCAAAGGCCAAGGCACCACCGCAGAAGAAAGATGGCAGCAACGAAAAGAAAGGAGTTGACAAGAAGCCCGTGGACAAGAGAGGCGAGAAGGACAAGAAGAAGGAAGTAGTCGTTCCGGAGAAGGACAAAAGGAAGGATGCCCCGGCTCCGAGGCTGCAGTTCGACGACGAGCAAAAAGTGGCGAAAGCGAGGCGACGGGCAATTGTGGAACAAACCACCGAGACCAAGCATCGAGTAGAGCTCTTCCGGCATCTTCCACAGTTTGTGCCGGCTACACAGCTCCAAGCGCTGGAAGAGAAGTACCTCCAGAATGATACGATGCATATACACCCGGCTGTGTATCAGGCAAGCTTTCTTTCTTCTTTTCCTTCGTCGGCTAAAACGCAAAGCTTTGCAGGTTGGACTGAAGTACTTGACGTGGGACATCGTCGGCGGAAATGCGAGGTGTGTTGCGATGCTGGAGGCCTTCAAGGAGATGATCCGAGACTACACAACGCCGCCTCAAAAGGTCATGTCTCGAGATCTCACAGCCAAGATCAACAGCCACGTATCGTTTCTCAGTACATGCCGGCCGCTCTCGATTAGCATGGGAAACGCGATACGATCGTTCAAGTTGAAGATCGGGAAGCTGCGGGATACGCTCACAGAGGCGGAGGCAAAGTCGAGCCTCGTCTCTCACCTGGAGACGTTTGCTCAGGAGAAGATCATTCTGGCCGACAAGGAGATAGTGAAGCACGCAGTAACGAAGATCATCGACGGGGACGTGGTTCTCACGCACGGCTTCTCGTGCGTCGTCGAGATGGTTCTCTCTCACGCGCACAGCATTGGGAAGAAGTTCCGGGTGGTGGTCATGGATTCCAGGCCCAGGCTCGAGGGACGAATTCTTCTTCGCAGCCTTCTGGCCCAGGGGGTGCAGTGCACGTACACGCACATCAACGCGGTCACCTACATCATGCAAGAGGTGACGAAGGTTTTCCTTGGAGCTGCTTCGATTCTAGCGAACGGCACTGTTTACTCGAGAGTCGGCACTGCTGCGGCCGCAATGGTCGCTCATGGTTACCGGGTACCCGTCATGATCTGCTGCGAGACGTACAAGTTCCACGAGAGAGTCCAGCTCGACTCCATTTGCTCCAACGAGCTCGGTAGGCTTTGTTTGGTTTGGGTCTGAGCTCAGTTCTTCCTTCCAGGCGATCCAGATGCTCTCGTTGGAGTTGCCGGGAGGAAGGAATTTCGCGAGCTTGTTGGCTGGGACGGGAGCGAGCATCTCCGGTTGCTGAATCTAACGTGAGTGTGCAAATGAGATTCCTTTCTTCCTTTCTTCATATTGCGTTACTTCCAGGTATGACGCGACTCCTGCCGACTACGTCTCGATGATCATCACCGAGCACGGGATGGTGAGTTGCATCATTGAAAACAGAAGTTTGAGTGACTGAGTTTTCCGGTTGTGCAGGTTCCACCGACGAGCGTCCCTGTCATTCTCAGGGAGTATAGAAAAGAGCCGATCCTGTAAGAAAAAAGCGAAGAAGAAAAGTGGAGCATATGGTCGATTTTGTCGAACGAGAATAAGCTACCTAGAGGTGAATTGTTGGTGGTGCTGCTACTGCGGCCCCAGACTGTGCTCTCTGTGACTCAATTTTGAATCGAGTTTTGAGCTCCTTTTTGGCCATCCTCGCAGCTCGTCGTTCTTCTTTCACAGCGCTCTGCCAAAAACAAAGCAGCAACTGAGAACTAAGTTCCAAAGAAAATATCAAACTCACCTTTCGAGCTTTGTGTTCCTCTTTGCTCTCTCCCTTTTGTCGCAGCGGAGCGGTTTTCTTGTGTGGCTCCGACTCTTTCTTCCGCTCGCTCGACACTTCGCTCGTCTTTGGCGTCACGAAATCCAGTGGCAACTTTTGCTTGCCGCCAATGCGAATCACTTGCTGCTGCGCCTGGCGAATCGAGGAGAAGTCGACCCGTTTGCCGACTGGAGCACCGATCCTCGATGGATGGTTGTCGAGGTTCGACAGTGTAGACACGATCGTCTCACAGTCCCATTTCGCCTTTTTGTCATCGTCGCTTTCGGCAACCCAGACTGTTTCCAGCTCTTCCTCTGCAGACTCACTGCTTTTTCCAAACTCCTCATACTCTTGCACCACTAACTCTAACTTTGCTGGCACTTCTTCCAGTCTCTCTTGCTTCACTGTCCGTTGAACTGGCTTGCTCGCGAAACTCGGATTTTCCGCAAGAAACTCGTCAAAGATCGACGTGAATTCAGAAATGTGGGCCTGGCCTCTGGCTCGCGGATCGTCGTCCCCGAAGTCCGCAACATCACAGTCGTATTCTTTCGAGGTGAGCTACAAAAGAAACGATAGTCAGTCACGATCTCGATAAAAGTTGCGGCAAGAGATTTACCACTTCAAACTGCTCGTCGAGAATCCCATTCGCTCGCTCGTTGGTGATGGCCATCGCTGCGAAAGACCGGACTTCTTCCTCTTCCTCTTCTTCGAACCTTTTCACGGGTGGCAAATCCTTCCTGTTGGAAGTTTCGGCTTTGGCTTCTTCCTCCACCCCCTCGTTTGCAATGAGGATAAAATCGTCTTCCAAACCATCGGACTCGTCCCCATCATCGTCTGAGAAATCACTCTCCTCGAGAACAGCAGCAACTTCGGGATCCAAGCCTCCCACCTTGACAAACGCACTTCGAATCGGCCTGAGATTGGTCGTGTTACTGGCAGATTCGTCCGCAACCGCTTCCTTGACAGGAACTTTGGAAGCATCATAAGCCTGAAGAACAAAACTCTATTGGATTGCAAGCGAAGGAAGAAGAAAAAATCATACCTTAAAATCGGCTGGAAGAACATTACTCGTCTCACTGGTCGTAGGAACAAAGACGCTACCGCCTCCAGCACCAATGCTCCTCATATGTTTCATGTAATTGTAGCCATCGTCTGGAAATCCCATCTCCACGAGCTCTCTCCTTACATGCTCCGGCAATCCCTGCGGAGTAATCTCCATCTTCGCCACTGCCGCCTCCAATTCCCCTTCTTCCTCTTCCTCCTCAGCATCAGCAAACCTGGAATCATCGTCGTCGTCTTGCTCGAAACCTGGCAACCGGATCGCGGCATTGCCGTCCACTCGCGTGTACACTCGCTCACCCCCAATCTCCTCGCCATCGCCAGATTCCCGGTAGAGCAGCGCGAATGTGGCGGATTTCTTCTTGTCGATGAATTTCTTCTTCCTGCCCATCCCTCCTCGCCGCAAGCCCTAAACCTCCGTTCTACCCTAAACTAGGGCTTGCCACGTGGCGTAGTATTGACTTTCATATTTTTCACGTGGGACTCTGCGATGACCGTTGGATTTTTCCTGCATCGGACGGACGGGATTCTCTGCCCTAAACTTGGCCGATCGGACGGGCCACGTTTATCCCCTTTGGCGTTAAAATTGGTGTTAAAAGCCCATTTGGTCAAGGGAAGGTTTTAGGCTTTTTTGGGTGAACAGTTCGCGAGTGCCGCGTTCTGGATCCAATCTTGGGGAAAATTTTTGGTAAGTGATTTCGTCTTCCTCGTAGCTCGAATCCCGAGCGCTAGCTGCGCCACAGCAGATTTTCGCAGATCTAAGGAAGATTTCGCAAGAAAGGGAGAGAATCTCGGTGGCCTTCACCCTTTCGGATGCTCTAGGGACCTAAGATCAAGATTTGGATCTCTTTCTCGGCCATGGGAGCAGTGTCGGAGGCGATCGCGGCGGACACCGCCGAGAAATTGCATGCCGTGGCGGCGGCCGATATCGAGGAGGAGAATCACCAGGCGGTGGAAGACGAAGCACCCTCCTCGGTCGATGACGCTGCCGATGGGATCGAGGATCACGCGGAGAGTGGGATTCTCGAGGAGGAAGCTGTGCAGCGCGACAATGACGAGAATATAGCGAAGGCTCCGATTGTGGGCGGGGCTACTCCCAGCGAGGCGAGCTCGGAATGGCCGGAGCAAGGATTTGCTTCCTGTGATCCGCCCGGGGGAGTGGCCGCGGTAGCTCCGACGACAAAATCGGTGTTCACGTATTACCTCGTGAGAATTCCGAAACGAGGGGACAATCTAGTGGATTTTAGGACGACGACGGACGCACAAGTTAAGGATAAGATTGAGAAGAAAAATTCTCTTATCGCAAAGCTCCAGCAAAAGAGAGTAAGTTCTTCACTCCCTAGTTCCAAAGAGAGAAAAGGAAGAACAACTCTCACTGTTTTCTTTCTTTGTTTGCAGGCGGAGAAACAGGAACTGCTTGACAAGCTTGTCGAGCCTCGAAATTATTTTAGGGAGTGCCGAGGCGAGCTCCAGGAGAAAATAGAAGAGAGCAAACCTGTGGCCGCGGAGCTTAAGAAAATCAATGAGTTGCCTTATGCGGGTATGTCTAATGTTTGTAGATCGGAGGAAGATCTCGATGCAAAGGTGAAGCTCCCACTATGCTTGTGGATAGTTTACTGACCAATTGCTAATGAGTTTCAGCTTGCGGGCTTAGAGCATGACTTACAGCAGCTTGATCGTCCGTTAACTTTACGAGAAGAGAAACAGATTATTCGCGAGATTCAGGCTCTTAAAGCCACTCGCGAGCAGGTAATTATCAATGCAAGCTTTCGTGCTTCCAAACAGGATGCCAAGCAAGGCTATCAAACGCGACTCAAGGTAATGCTTTTCTTGTAACTTATGTCCAGGCTAACAGGATTTTGAATTGTGGCGTAGTCACTGAACGAGGAGATTGAAGAATTGTCAAAGAAAAAGAACCTGGCGTGGTCCAAAGTAAAACCGTTGGAAGACAGGGTTTCGGCCCTTACGGAGGAGATTAAGATTCTTTCGTCTCAGAGGAAGGCGCTTGATGAAATTATTGACGAAGTCTTCAACGAGCGTAGAAGTTTGTCAGCGCAAGAGTATGCTAAGGTGCGGCTGTTGGATAAAGCAGTGTTGATTTCAAGGCTAAACGGTGTTGTTGTCCATGCAGAACAACGATTTCCACCAAAACAGGCGGGATATCAACACGGCCAAGCAGCTTGCGTACGCCAAAGATATAGGGGCCTTGAAAGAATATTGCTCCGCCCAGGTCTGGTGAAGTTGAAGTGTCATTTGTTTTTGACATTTTTCACCAGGTGGAGCGCGTGATGGAACTTTGGAACAACGATACCTCCTTCCGGTCGGAGTATATGAAGAACAATCTCCGGAGTACAATCAGGCGCTTGGCAACCCCGGACGGCAGGTCGCTAGGACCTAACGAACAACCGTATGAGCTCCCGAAAGATGAACCTCCTGTTGCTGCGCCGGCACCTGTAGTAGAAGAGAAGGAAGCGCCGAAGCCAACACTTGAAGTCAAGGCTGAGCCATCGAAGACTGCTGCGAAAACGAAGCAGAAGTCCGATGCCAAGGAAGCCAAGGAAGCTGGAACCAAAGCCAAGCCTGTCTCCGAGGAGAGCGAGAATGTCGTGGAAGCCGAGGATGAGGTGGAGGCGGAGCGAGCCGCAATCTCGGAGCTGGCGAAACAGCTCGAGCGAAGGGAGGTGGAGATTCAAAAGGCGAAGGAAGCCGAGGCCAGGAAGAAGAGGCAAGCTGAGAAGAAGCAAGCCAAGGCCCAGGCCCGGATCGAGAAGGAACTCCAACGCAGGGAAAAGGTTCGTCAAGTCTCTCTCCCCACTCTTGTCTGACTTCAAGCTCTCCTCCATTGCAGGAAAGGGAGAAGAGACTCCGGAAGAAAACTTCCGCCACAGACGAAGCCGGAGAAGGCGCCGATTCGCCCTCCGAGCAGGAAAAGGAAAACTTAGAACCGGCCGTGGCTGCCGAGAACGGCGAGAAGCCATCGCCCGAGGAGAAGAAGCCATCGAGCGTGACACGCCGCGGGAAGAAACCGGCCAAGAACACCCCCGTGAAGCTCCAGCTGAGGAAGAAGCGCTCGCTCCAGCGACAGCTCTTGGATCACTGGCAGATCATAGCGGCCATTGGAGTGGCGCTCCTTGTTGTTCTAGGCGCTACCATGGTGAGAGAGCTCTCTTTTTTTCTTTTCTCTATCACAGTTGTGATCGATCGTCTCCATTGTCTTTGCAGGTCTTTGTTCGTGCTGCTTATTAGCTAGTTTTGCGGGAAGAAAATTTTTGAAAATAAAAGAAGTTTGCTTGTCAATTGATAAACTAAGCTAGTAGTGAGTGTCGCTGTAAAAGTCAAAGCCACCTGACTATATTTTACCCTGTGGTCAACCCCATCGCTGGATTTTTTGTTTTTCTTTTTTTATACGAGTATAAAAGGAGGGATAGGGAAGATAGATATGGCGTTGGCGCTCGATCTCTTCTCCTCGTGTGACCGATGCTTCTCCAGCAGAGCTTGCGCAGCCTGTGCGGCAAGAGCGGCTGGTGCTACGCGGTCTTCTGGCGCCTCAAGCGCCGCAATCGCATGTAAGTTTCTTGGATTTCGCTTGGATCGCTATCGATCGCCTACGTTTCGCGAATTTCTCCCTCGCGATCGATGGATGCCAGGGTTCTTACTTGGGAGGATGCCTACTGCGATTACTCCGCAGCGGCGGCCGCCAGTGCCGCCGCCGCCGCCGCCGCTGCTGCTGCTGGAGGAAATCTTCTCGATCAAGCGGCAAACTCTGGCGCTCCGGGGGCGAGTTCTTCTTCTCACGATCAGATTGGCTTGGCGGTGGCCAAGATGTGCTACCACGTCTATTCCTTGGGCGAAGGGTAACGAGCATTACCTTGCTCTAGGATATTTTTTCTTGTCTTGTTTTGCGTTTTTAGCAGCGAGCTCTAATTGTGCGATTTTTTTTCAAGGATAATTGGTCGTGTAGCTTTCACACAGAAGCACCAATGGGTCTTTGGACGAGTGGACGGAACGTTACATGAAAAGGTCTTTGCATTCTTCTTGTTGTTTTGTGGTTTGCCTTCTTCTTTATAAGTTTTTTTTGTTCTTGTTCATCACTGACAAGATCACCTGTTTGATGAGCAGTACCCGGCTGGATGGGCGAGCCAATTTGCTGCAGGGATTCAAGTGAGTTTACATGTTCTTGGGAGGATCCTTCTCTCATTTCGTTTCTGAATAGCAATGTGCTTGCAGACCATAGCTGTTATATCCGTGCCGCAGGGTGTTGTTCAGCTAGGATCTACGCAGAGAGTGAGCAATCTTTTCACTTCATTCTTTTCGTTTTTGATGTCTATTGGCAGATCATGGAAGACTTGGAAATGGTTTCGCACGTCAGGACTATGTTTTGCACGCTTCAAAGGGTGCCTGGAGCATTTTTCCCTGACTACGTGAATGCCCAAGCAGCAACTCAAGGAGGAGCTTTTCGGTATATGACTCCCATCCAGGCGCTTACGGCAGCACCGGCGCCAAACCTTCTTACACATCAGCCACCGTTCCCGTTCAGCTGTTCTTCGAGATCACATGTTTCTGGTGGAAATCTCCTCCTGAATGCAGGTGTTGCGGCGTCAAACTTAAGAGACATGGAAAACTTGTTAGCAGGTCCGAAGAACGTTTGTGATGGAAGTTCTCCTGCTATGTTTCCATCCACCGGGACAACGGTTCTGGATCAAGCCCGTCATAGATCGAGAGGAACGAATGAAGCTTGCAGCAGCTTTGTGGGCGTTGGTTTTCCTTGTGAGGCTCGGCATGATGGAACTTCACCGACTACTACACTCTCATATTCTAATACGGAAGAAAGTACAGATGAAGCTCATGGCCGGCCTCCTGGTGTAGGAAGCTCCGGTAGTGCAACTGAGCTTCCTGATCTCGACAGCTTGCTACTCCCAGCAGATGCATTTCACGACCGCGGGTTTGACAGTCTAATGCCCAGAGGTGTTGAAGACATCGACCAATTCTTCGCTCTGCTGCCAAAAGATAGTAACGATTTCCGAGAAGAAGATTTGCCAAAGGTGGTTCCAGAAGCAGGCATCGAAACGCAAGCGATGGCAGCCGATATGAACTTGTCTGTTGCGCGGGATCATGCGTTTGGTGCAAGCTCAGACTTTGTTTCAAGTATGCTATTCCCGTCGTCGCCATCGGCACTACAGAAAGATGAACAGCAGCCGACTGGTGTCAAGCGAGCTAGGCCTCAAGAAGAAGGAAAACCACAATCAAGGGGCAGGCCGCAAATTCTAGACCGAGTGAAGGAGCTCAGAGGCATTGTTCCAAACGCAGAAAAGGTATGATTTTTTCTCTTTTTGTCTACGTATCTTTTTTCAACTGCTCATAAATGTCTGCTGATCAGTGTAGCATCGACGCACTTCTTGAGAAAACCATCGATCATGTTCGCTTCTTACAGGCTGTGTTGCAGCAAATCGGAAGTTCGAGCAGGCAAGAGGTACCTCTGTTCAATCTTGACTACTTTCTCTTTACTCTTTCTTCTTTTGCTGGAGGTTGACAACGGCGCAAGCTTGGCCATGAAAGCTGCCCGGTTCCTGTCAAAGACATGAGCGCAATGCTGGTGCCTATTTGTAGTCCCGCGTTTTGTTACCTATATCAATGCAGGTTAACGCTGCTCTTGCAGATGATTTGCGACGAGAAAAAGAATTTCCTAGTGATGGCAACACATATTTGTGGCTTGAGTTCCGTGGTTATTCACGGAACAGTAGAAAAGATGTCCGTCCTTGAGGTGCGGCCACAAAACTTTTCTTTCTTTCCTTTTTTTTTTCCCTCAAAGAATCCTTTTTTTTTTCTCTCAGGCTTCGTCGGAGGATGTTCGTAGATTTCATGCGCTCGCTTATGCGCCTATTCAGCGAAATAAAATTGGTATGGATGATCTGTCTTCTCTTTGCTGATTCAAAGCTTGATCAACAGACACAGAAAACACGAGCTAAGCCATGATCCGTCAGATACAAAAAAAACTCGTCTTACTGGTAATGTATTTCATAGTTTCGTCAAAGTTGTAAGAAGTAACAATGCAGGAGGAGAGGACGTCGGTTGTAGCACGGGAAAAATCACGTCGCTGGAGAGATCACTGAAGATCACTTTGCCCTCATAGCCTAAAGGTAGCCAGAGCTTCTCTTTTTTCCATTACTATTTGTTGATTGATCAATGATGCGTGTGTGGTCCTTGCAGAAGGTCGTTCTTCGGTGGTGCGAGCATCGTCTCGAGAGAAAGGAACGTGCCGTACGCCCAACCGCGATTTCTGTCATGTAGTTGTCACTTGCCTATGGTCATGAAATTTTAACGTTTTAAAAGGGATCCTTGTTTCCCTCGCATTCTTATCGTCATCCCTAATCTTTAGTTTTCGATTCAACGGTGAGATAGGGCAGGCCGGACGCGGAATCCGATCGATTCTATCGATCGCCAGGGATTTCCACAAAATAATATATCGATCCATCGTCTCGAGCGATCGCGCCAATGCGGTGACAGCGGCACAGTAGCTGGGAACGTAAGTACCGATTGGATTTCTCCATCGTTGACCATTGGTGCTTAAAAATCTAGCGATCGAGCCACTGGCACCACGAGTCCTCGTCCTCGTTTTCTTCTAGCAAAGGCTATGGCTTCGCAGGATGATCAAAGCGATCATGGAGGAGAGGGTCCAGAGATTGCAATTCTCTTCGTGGTTGTAGCGTTCTTTATTGGGACGCTCTCTCGCCAGATGCTCGGCAAGATAAAAGTTCCCTACACTGTTGTTTTGCTAGTCATTGGAATTGGACTTGGTTCTCTCGGTACGTTTATTTTTATCTCCTTCTCACTGTTTATGCTACCTTTTGTCCCAATCTCCAGAGCATGGAACTCATCGTGGCCTTGGAGCACTTGGTCAGAGTATACGAATGTGTAAGTAAACTCTCTCTCCAGCTCTCGTGTCACAAATTCCCGCGAGATGAAATGTTTTCAGGGTCCAAGATCAATCCAAACCTCATACTGTTCGTGTTTTTGCCTGCTCTCCTCTTCGATAGTTCTTTCTCCATGGAGTTCCACCAAATCAAGGTACTGGTTTCAAGTAAAGCTTCGTTAGTGTCCTGATTCTTCTGGTCATGCGGACAGAGATGTATAATCCAGATGTTGTTGCTCGCGGTCCCTGGAGTGATCATATCGACTGTTTGTCTCGCTCTCGTGCATCACGTAAGTTCAGCCTGTTTGGAACGAAAGTGTATATTTGGCTCTCCTGTTTGCCAGTGTGTGTTTCCGTATGGATGGAACTGGAGCATTTCCTTGCTCTTGGGAGGCTTGTTAAGCGCTACAGATCCCGTGGCTGTGGTGGCCTTGCTCAAGGACCTTGGAGCTAGTAAGAAGCTCAACACCATCATCGATGGAGAAGCGTTGATGAACGACGGGTACGTGAAACTTGGTGTCAAATTATACATGTGTGATAGTCGTTTCATGTGCTGCAGGACTGCAATGGTTGTGTTTGAGCTGTTTCATCAGATGGCAATGGGCAAGCATTTCTCTCCAGGCGATGTGATCGAGTTCCTGTCTAAAGTCTCTCTTCTTGCGTAAGGATTTTTACTTCTCTTACTCTCTCTTTCGGATTCAATTGATTTGGCTGGGGTTTTGCTCGCAGCTTGGGACTGGGTTTGATTATTGGGATGATAACGGTACTATGGCTGGGATTTATATTCAACGATACTGTTATGGAGATTACATTGACATTCACAGCAAGCTACTTCGCTTTCTTTCTAGTAAGATATTTACCTGAGAGGCTTTGAGGTTATATTTGTAACAACTTCCTGTGCTAGGCACAATCTGTGGCGGAAGTTTCCGGTGTCTTGGCCGTCATGACAGTTGGCATGTAAGATTCCCGTGTTGAAGCTCATAATGTCTTTGCTTTCAAGGTTTCTTGCAGCTTTTGCCAGGACTGCTTTTAGAGGTGAAAGTCAACAAGCTATGCATCACTTTTGGTACGGTGTGTGTATATCAGCCGCTGGGAATAGGAACTAAATAAACTAGCTTTCAGGAACATGGTCGCTTATTTTGCCAACACTATCATCTTCTTGCTAAGGTAAGTGTGTTTTTCAGCAAGACAAATGTTTACATCGTCCCGGTTCTTGCGCAGCGGCGTTGTCATTGCCGAGAACATCCTACGAAGTCAATCGCTTATTGAAGGTAGATATATATTATCTAGTGGTGGAATTCCTCGTACTAAGCTTCGCGGTTCAATGCTGTTTCCAGCCCGAGACTGGGGATATCTGGTTCTTCTTTACCTCTTTGTCCAACTGTCAAGAGCTCTTGTGGTGGCAGTTCTGTATCCTGGTTTAAGATACTACGGATATGGTCTAAGTTTGAAGGAGGCAACAGTTCTTGTTTGGGCTGGCCTGCGAGGGGCTGTTGCTCTAGCGCTATCACTTTCTGTCAATGTAAGTGCCTAAAGTAGTCATGCTGTGCTGAATTCGGGCTGTTTATGCAGGTTTCTGGGAACGTCTCGGAGATCACCCGAGCAAAGGTTAGCTAGCTAGCTGATAGTTTGTTTTTCTCAATGGATACCTTATTCGGTTTTCTAGTTTGTATTTTTCACGGGTGGGGTGGTGTTCCTTACGCTTACTATCAACGGGACTACAACACAATTCCTTTTAAGGTTCCTTCGCATGGAAAAGACAACGGATACTAAGGTACGCTACGTTATTTGCAATCCACTGACGCGTTCTCACGGTCTGAACTTGTAGAGGCTTGTACTAGAGCATGTCATGCATGATATGAATATGAAAGCGGTTGAAGCGTATGAAGAGCTTGGAGAAGACGAGGAGCTCGGACCTGCCGACATGACAACTGTATATAAGTACATTGGCTGCTTGAACCAGTTTGGGAGGGGTCATCATCCCCATGGATTAGCACCAAATGTCGAGGATTCACGGAGTATACAATTGCAAGATACGCGCTTGCGATTTCTAAACGGTATGCACTGCCAATTCAACTCCTTTTGGATGTGACCAGTTAACAAGTGTGACACAGGAGTACAAGCTGCATATTGGCAGATGCTAGAGGAAGGGAGGATTTCGGAGAATGCTGCATTGTTGCTAATGCAATCCGTAGACGAAGCTCTCGACGGAGTCGCCAAGCAGGAGGAGCTTTCGGATTGGACTGGTTTGCGGCCATACGTCCACATTCCGAAATACTTAAAGCTCTTGCAAAGCAAACGCCCCTTCTTTCCACAGAAACTAGTGCACTATCTGGTAGTAGAGAGGCTAGAACTTGGGTGCTATGTCACCGCAGCATTTTTACGTGCGCATGTATACGTTCGGCGCCATATTCGGGATTTTATTGGTAAGCTCCTGCATTAGTTGAAATTTCCCTACATTAGCAGCTCTGCCTTTCAGGTGAAACCGAGGTAACAAAAGCTGTTATAAAAGAAAGCGAGGACGAGGAGCTGGAAGCTAAACGATTTCTAGAGGACATCCGACTTACATTTTCACAGGTATGTCACAGCTTTTCCTCTTGTTCTTATGAACTTGCATATTAAGTAAGTATTAATGCAGGTGTTACGAGTGGTTAAAACTAAGCAAGTTGTACATGCAATTCTAGTACGCCTCCATGACTATATCAGAAGCCTGGAAAAATCAGGCCTGCTGGAAGAGAAGGAAACTGTGCAGCTCAGTGATGCTATTCAGGTAAGGTACCAAGCTTTCTGGAGTAACTTGACAGATTACGTTTTATTGCAGCTAGAGCTAAAAAAACTACTAAGAAAACCTCCTACTGTAAAGATACCCAAAGGCTCTCAGGTTTTGCGTGATCATCCTTTCATTGCTGCCCTCCCCGATCACATCCAGGCGCAACTTGTGAGCTGTGCGAAGCAGTGCTTGAAACTACGTGGTAATGTTATTTGCGAAGAAGGCTCGCGAGCGGATGGCCTGTGGCTTATAGCAAACGGAGTTGTCAAAGTACGTTAAGTTCTTCACTCCTCGTCTCACGAGCATTTTGTGTTTGCACAGTGGAGCAAGCGAAACTTGGACAAGAACCGCTCTCTTCATCCAGTTTTTGCCCATGGGAGCACGCTGGGTCTCTATGAAGTTCTCATGGGGATGCCTTACTTGTGCGAGTTGACTGCGGATTCTGTGGTTCAGTGTTTTTTTCTGGAGGCGTCCAAAGTGCTTTCAATTTGTCGATCCGAGCCAAGGCTAGAACACTACTTTTGGCAGGTACACTCTTTGTTTCCTCTATTTTCTTGGTGCCATTTCAAAGCTTTTGTCTGCAGGAAAGTACACTTGCGATATCAAAGATAATTCTTCCCGAGACATTTGAGTTGCTCGCAATGCATGAACTGCGATTGGTGTTTGAAAGCTCTAGTACCACAGTATCCTGCCTCCGAGGTGAGGTTGTCGAGCTTCGGCCTGGTGAAACAGCTTTGCTCGTCGATGGATTTATCAAAAGAGACGAAAGCGACGAGATTATAGCTGCCCCTTCGGCTGTTGTCTGTCCGCATCGTGCTAGTTTGCAGGCATCTGGTAACACGACATGCGTTCATTCTTTCACATGTCTAAACGCTTTGCGGTTTTCAGATGGAATTTACTATGGAAGTGTTCTTGATGTCGTGGCACGATCACGCCTGATCATTATTAGATGCGATTTGTTTACCGCGACGTCTTCCATGTCGCTGCTTCCTCGCCGTTCTAGCTTGGGACGTGATAGCTTCATTCAGCGAGCTAGAATGAGCAGTTTTGATCGGAAACCAAGGTCAGGGAGAGCTCGGAGTTTCGCAACTTTCTTTCAGGTACTTACAAGTGCATTTTAATAGTTTCTGTTGTTTATTCTTCTTTTTTCATGAGGAACAGCCAAATATTCAACGAAAGAAAAGCAGCACTAGTCAAATCCGGCCAGAGCAACAACAAGAAAAGCCAGCTGCATATCTATCACTACATGAAACTCAACTGGCCAGCTTGCCAAGCATTCCAGTTTCCGCGCATCTTGCACCCCTGCGGACTCAAAACCGACGAAACGACCGCGCCGCTTCCAGAGATTCCAGTGACGCGTCGGACGACGAACATATCGTAGAAATCGAGTCACCGAGTGGTCTCAGCTTCAACAATGTTTTCTAGTGCCTCCTTCCAGGCAGCGCTCCTCGATATGGTTTTCTAAGCGACGTTGGCTATGGTTTCTATAAAATGGTACGTAGACTGTCGATGTTTTGTCTTGACTTTGTTGGCAATGGCAGCAAGGCAGCGAATTTCGCGTTTTCTATGGGTGATTGCGGCTGCCATGGCCATTTTATATTAGCGTTTCACAACCAGAGATTGGAAAAACATCTACTAATCGCATGTTACAGGATAACACGCGGGCACCGGCTTTAAAACTTGTTGGAAGGATCGTGGTAGCTCGCGATTTACGCAGACAATTCCAAGGAGTGCATACCAGGTACTCGAAGTTTCTGTATAAAACAGTTCCCGAGGATCATTGATCATGAGTCTGGAACTTACTTTTTTACGTGGGCATCAGGGAGGCCGAGTCATTTGGACGCGTTTCAGGCGGTGGTGCTCGGTGAGTGGTGATGATGTATCTTTTTCTTAGCTTGTAAGGCTTTCGCGTGGTGCTAAGTGATCTAACTTTGTTCTCTCGCTAGATCTCTGTGCCTGGCTGGACGCACAAACGCGAAAATGGCTAGCTCCACGCGACTGTCCCTCGCGCAGGAGCTCCATGTGCTCACATTATCAGCCGGAATCTTTGCTGTAAGTTGTACGCCGCACTACAGGATCTCTTCGCCTTCCTCTTGAATCTTGAGGCTTCTTCTCTGGGCGAGTAGAGCTCGCACAGATGCGCTGCTTTTACCACCTTGGAAGCAAGCTAAAAGCTGCGGGATCGAAAGAAGAAAAACAAAGAAGAGAAGAATCGATCCGACTCACTCCAAAAAGGATCAAGGGTTGTTTTCTTCTGTATTATATGCCTTTTGTTTGTGCGCGAATCTAGGCAGCGCGAGAGAAAACACAGCTGTTCTTTTCGGAAAAGCTTGTTGACCTTGACTGGAGTGGACTACCGTTGACTGGCCATGGAAAAACGCGGGGAAGGTCTCGCATTTAATGGAAGGTTGGTCGCATCGCAGGGGGAGGATTGGGGAAGAAGACAATGCCAAAATGAATACACGCTTCGCAAGTTCCACCCCCAACCCGAGGGGTCAATCCATTGGCAGCAGCGAGAGAGAGAGAGAGAGAGAGAGAGAGAGAGGGGGGGGGACTCCCTTTCCTGGATCTTCCTAGTTTTGCTCGCGGGGTCGGTGTTAAGTTGATCGAGACGACGAACTCGCTTTCTATAACTCGCTACCTGACGGACGAATCGCCCCCTGTGCTGATCTCCTACAGGCTATGCAAAAAAAAAAAGGAACTCTGATCTGATCACGCACGAGTATATTATAATCTCTCTGTAGAAGACTACTAGCGAGAAGTCAGCGTCACACAAACGCACAGGGAAAAGAAGCAAGACGAGACGCGGGCGAAGGCACAGGAGGAGAGAACACTTTAACCTGGGCGATTGAATGCAGCTGTTGGCTCGCTCCTGCATTGATTTCTTTTCGTTGGAGATGAGCAGCAGCCCAGCAGCCGCAGCAGCAGTGACAAGCAATAATTCATCACCTCTCACTGGCCTGCCACTCTGCTCTGTTGATCTCTCTCTTCCCAAATCCAAAAAAATCTCACTCCTGCGCTTGACTTCCCTCGCCTCGCAGCAGCTGGTTTGTTTGTCCCTGTCCTCGTCACGAATTTAGAACGGGGGCGTGCTTCAGCTGAAGCCAACCGGATCAAGATCGAGAGAGATTCCGTTCTATAAGTTGCGCAGCAAGACACACATTTAACTTGTTGGTTTTTTCTTCTTCTTCTTCCCGGGAATGGAAAATCTCCGCGAGCTTCCACAGGTATGAATCCTGGAATGGATGGATGGAGCTGCACCAAGGGATTGAATCGCTGGGTATGAGAAGGGAGCCCACCAGGGAGTTGACTGTAGTAGGCCGGGAAATTCTCAAGAGCAGCGACGCCAGATCAAAGACCAACAACAACACTGGTGCCAAGAAGAAGAAGAAGAAGAGGAAGCCGGACATCATCGCGCCCTCGCCATCGTCGACCACCAGCACGACGAGCACAACCACGAATTCTCCTTCCGCATCTCCCAATCCCATCGACAAGAGATGGTTCAGCGTCTACGACGTCTTCCGCTGCAAGCAGCTCCACGTCGAGCTCTCGGCGCTCACGGCAAACTCCCATCGCTGCTACACCAGGAGCAAGAGCAAGAACAAGAACGCCGCCACCGCCACCGCAGCCGCCGCAGCCACCACCACCACCACAAGCAACGCAAACAACGCAAGCAAACGAAGAACTTTCCCGCAAGAGCGCCACCTCGTAAGGCTTCCAGGCGATCATCACGAAGATGGAGAGGAGGAGAAGAAAAGCTTTCGTTTCTCCGAGGAAGAACAAGAGGATGATCGGCACCAGCAGCAGCAAAAGGATCGAAAGAAGGCGGAGATGTGGCGGAGGATGGAGATGGTCCGCCGCCTCCAATCGGGCGACATAGAGGAGCAAACCAGCGCGGCGGCGGACATCCGCGCGGCGTGCCGCCGGGACGGCGACGCCCGCACGACGCTGGCGCTCATGGGCGCCATCCCGCCGCTCGTCGCGATGCTCGACTCGCTCAACACCGCGGCGGCGGCGGCGGGGCTGGCGGCGCTGCTCAATCTCTCCGTCCGGAACGATCAGTAAGTCCCTCGCTTGACAAAAGCTCGATCGTTATGTTACTCTTGCAGGAACAAGGCGGCGATCGTGGCGGCGGGAGCCATCCCAAAGATCCTCCGCCTCGCCAAGAGCCACCCTGGCTCCCACATCCAAATGCAGCTCCTGGAATCCTCGGTGGCGGCGCTGCTCAGCCTCAGCGCTCTCGACGCCAACAAGCTCGCCATCGCCGCCTCCCCGGGCGCCGCCGCCAGCCTCGTCGCCACCGTCCTCGACAGCTCCTCCACCGACCAGGCCCGCCGCGACGCCATGGCCGCGCTCTACAACCTCTCCCTCTGCCCGACCAACGCGCCCGTGCTGTGCGCCGCCGCCGCGGTACCCGCCGTGCTGTCGGCGGCGTACGAGCCCGAGCTGTGCAGCCGCGCGGTAGCCACCGCCGCCAACCTCGTGTCCACGTCACCCGGCCGCCGGGCAATGGCGCGGGTGGAGAGCTCGTGTCTCGTCTTCACCGACATTCTCAACTGGTGCCGCTGTGGATACTGTCCGAGTGTCGCCAGCCCGTACCGCGGCGGCGTCGGCGGTACCGTCACCCGCGGCCTCATCGAACGCGCGGTATACGTGGTCATGGTCCTGGCCCAGTGCAGCCAGTCGCAGCGCCGCGCCATGTGCCGCGCGGGATGCTCGTCAATGCTGCTCGAGCTCGTTCTCATTGGCAGCCCGGCCGTCCAGGACCGCGCGTCTCGGACTCTCCAGTGCCTGGCGGCGGCCGACGATGACAACTCCTCGTCGACGAATTCCTACTGCTGCCTGCTGCTCCAAGAGGGCGAGGGAGACGATGAGCAGCACCAGCAGCACGAGCACCAGCAGCGGCGGCAGCTTCTCGAACGAGAGCTCTACTCGGAGGAGCGACGCGCGGTAAACAGGCTGGTGGAGCGGAGCCTCAAGATCAACATGCAGCGCATCACCGAGCGCGCTTGCATTCCTCTTGCTGCTGGTGCTGCTTCGGATGTGACCACTGCTGCCACTGGCACTACTGCGACTTCGTCGTCATCGTCATCATCCACATCTTCCACTCGTCCGCTAGTCAGCTCGTAGCTCTCGAAAGCCATTATTTGTACGTAGCGTATCACTTCCACTTGGACTTGATTCGGACTTGATTCGAAGACTGGACGGGGATCTCTCACGGCACCACATTTCCTTCCCTGCCAGGAGAGTTTGACCGCTTGTGTGCTTCGAGTTGGACGGCTCCCACCGACTTCTCGTTTAAACCGTTTTGGTTTTTGTCTTTCGTAGAACGCACAAAATGAATGTGGCAAACGGCCAAGATTCTCATGTATCTGGAAGTTGTGGAAGATTAGAAAGAAAAGCAAAGGCCTTACCAGTCAAGCGGCGTATTCCTCTGCCAGCTTCGATGGTCTTCTCTCAGCTTCGAACGTGTAGCTTCACCAGCAGGGAGTACACCCCGTTTTCAATCTGGAGCAGCTCCTTGTGCCTGCCCTGTTCTGCCACCACCCCGTTCTTCACCACCGAAATAACTCCTGCGTTGACAATGGTGGAGAGCCTGTGAGCCACCACGACCACGGTCCGGTTCTGCATCACGAGATTGAGCGCCTCTTGCACTAGGCGCTCCGATTCAGCATCCAGAGCGCTGGTTGCTTCGTCTAGGAGCAATATCTTCGGGTTCTTCACGATGGCTCTTGCTATGGCGATCCTTTGCTTCTGGCCTCCCGACAGCTGAGTACCACGCTCGCCAACTTCTGTGTCAAATCCGTCGGGAAGATCCATTATAAACTTGTAAGCGTTCGCAGAGATAGCAGCGTCTTTGATCTCGTCATCTGAGACTCCATCCTTTCCGTAGCCTATATTTGAGCCCAGCGTCCCAGAGAAAAGTACTGGCTCCTGTCCAACCAATGCCATCTGCTGCCTCAACCATCTGAGTTGGAGCGACCTTATGTCCACGCCATCTATGAAGATCTTTCCGCAATCAGGATCATAAAACCTTTGGATAAGAGAGATTGCAGTTGATTTTCCACAACCGCTCTCTCCAACCAATGCTGCAGTCTGAAAGGTAAGACGTCTTTTTACCATGACAAATAAATTGCAAAACTCAAAATGCAACATCTTACCGTTCCGGCCTCAACAAACAGTGTGAAATCTCGAAATATTTGCACATCTGGCCGACTGGGATACTTAAAGCTTACGTGCTGAAACTGGACGTCACCATGCAGAATGTCCAAAGTGCTTCCTTGCAAATCTGCTGGATCGATTTTCGACTTGCGGTCAAGCATTGAGAAGATAGAAATGACCGAAGTCTTGACCTTGCCGAGATCTGGCGCCAGTCCAGCAGCATGCGAAACTCCAATTGCAGACATTGTGATTGCAAAGAAGACCTGAAACGAGAATATGAGTCTGCTGAAACAGTAAAGAACCCATGTCATTACCTTGAAAACTTTCTGAAACGTTGTCTTTCTGTCTTTCACAAGTTGAGCACCATACCAAAAGCTAAGGCCGTAGGACGAAAACATAACCACATTCGAGCAGCCAAAACCTGCACCGCTAACAAGTCCCAGGCGAATCCCGTTCTTCAAAGGTCTTCGACACTTATCTTCGTATAGCTTCAGCATTTTCTCTTCAGCACAGAAGGAAGCCACGCTTCGAATGCTGCTTATTGCATCCGCAGCCACATGGCTAGCTTCCTCGTACATCACCTGGCAAGAGAACTGCTTTAATATCTCTAGTCCATAAAGAGGGAACGTACCTTTGCATCGGCACTGAAACCGGTCATAACTTTTATTTGCATGATCCCTTGCAGGCTAAGCAAAGGCACCAGCGCAAAAATTACGAGCGCCAACTCCCAAGTAGCAGAAAACGCAATTAGCAAGCCGGCTGCGATTGTTGCTAAGTTTTGCACGGTCAAGGCCAAGCTGTCGCCTACCATTCCTCGCACATAAGCAGCATCAGTTGATAGCCTGGAACTTATCGCCCCGCTGCATAGAACTTGAAGTCAGCGAAAAGATGCTTGCTAATCTTACCTCGAGTTCTCACGGGCATCAAACCAGCCAATCTCTTGTCGAAGAACTGTTTTAAAGGTGAGGTAGCGTATACGTCGGATCAAATTCTGGCCAACATAAGCAAAGGAGACCATCTGGCAGGGTATAATAATAAAGCATGCGCACGCGAGAACGACGAACATCGAAGCCCAGAAGTTAGCACCTTTGCGCAGCTCGTTTCGGTCGGGGTTATAGAAAACTCCCAGGATGCTTGAAAGAAGAAGGCCAAACATGGGAAAGACTATCGCATTCACTGCCGCTGCCACCGAGCCCAAGATAAACACGGGAGCTTCTGGTTTGTTTAAGGCAGCCAGCCGTAGCATCGACGAAGTTGTACTTACACCATCCCGAGGCTTATGTTTCAAACCAAAGAGATACTTCCATCTGCTGTGACTGCGACCACTTTCCTGCACCTCTCTTTGTACTGGTATTTGAAGGCTTGATTCCCTCAGAGATGACAACCGACGACGAGATACTTTCGGACTGCCGCTACCACTGCTGCTGCTGCTGCTGCCGGACTCCTCGTCACGGTGGTCGTCATGACGCATTTCCTGCAGTTTTATAAGCTGAGAATAGTGGCCATCTGGAATAGCCAAAAGACTTGAATGCGTCCCTGCAAAAGGTAACAGCGTGAGGACGCCTTGGTTTTTAATGTTTTCGTGTCACGTACCACTTTCTACTATTTTTCCTTGTTGGAACACGAAAATAGAGTTTGCGTCCCGGATTGTCGAAAGTCTGTGTGCCACAATCACAGTAGTGCGGTCTACCATGACACGTTCAAGAGATTTTTGAACGATTCTTTCGGACTCCGCATCCAACGCGCTAGTAGCCTCATCCAGCAAAAGTATACGGGGATTTTTTAGTATAGCCCGTGCGATTGCTATCCTCTGCTTTTGGCCACCAGATAATTGTGTACCGTGGTGTCCGACATAAGTGTCATATCCCTGAAACATGTTATGTTCCATTGAATTGCCGGAAAAATAAAATAAAATAAAGAGCACGTCTACCTGTGGCATGTTGCTGATGAACCTTGCAGCATTGGCCAGTTCACATGCGGCTTGCACATCCTCCTTGGTTGCACCATTTTTTCCATAGGCGACATTTTCCCACACAGATACTCCGAAAAGGACTGGCTCCTGACTCACGAGTCCAATCTGCTGTCTCAGCCATTTGAGCTGTAGTTTTCTGATGTCGTGGCCGTCGATAGAAACCACGCCACTTTGTGGGTCATAGAACCTTTCCAGCAAGCTAATGACCGTAGACTTTCCGCTTCCACTTTGTCCGACAAGTGCAGCTGTCATCCCAGACGGGATCGATAAACAAAAGCCTTTTAGGATCTGTACACCTGGTCGTGAGGGGTAAGTGAAGTTCACACTTTCAATCTCTATATTCCCTTGCACGTTTGTCAGAATGGCACCCTTCATATTGTAGGAATCGATTGCAGGCACACGATGTATAACTTCAAACATCTTGTACGCAGCTGCTTGGCCTGCTGCAAAGGCACGCAGAGATGGTGAAGCCTGGCCCAGTGCCCTGCACTACAAGTTCAATACAGCGCTATTGTAAGAAATTTTAAAGACCAGCTTTTCTTACTGTTGAATTAAGGTTGATATAGACTGCGAGATATCCAGCTTACATGCCTCCCATGAGAACCGAAAGCATGACGTTGATGACTGCACCGCCTGTATAACCGTTGTGAAGAATAAGCTTGGAGCCATACCAAAGAGCCAGAGCATAGCTCAAATAGAGCGTTAGCAACGTGCATCCCATGCCAAAACCTGAACTTAAACCCTGATAAACACCAGCTCTATATGCCTTTCCCAAAGCTGTATCATAGTCTCCCACAGCTTTGTCTTCTCCAGTGAAAGATGCAACCTGATGACAAAAGACAATGAGTAATGAAACCGGACGTTTGATGTCGCCTTACCGTTCTAATGCCACCGACAGCTTGTTGGACAATATTTCCAGCGTCAGCATAAGCCATTTGTCCCCTGCTCGACGTTTTAGAAATCAGCATAGCCATCGTAGCTCCCGCAATGACGAGGAGGGGCAGCACTGATGAAACGACAAGCGCAAGCCTCCAACCTCTGATAAATGCGAGTATAAAACCACCAAAGAACGTGGACAAGAGCTGTACAAACTTTCCAACCTGCATAGACAAGCTTAGGAATGAAAACCAGATCATCTTTGCATACCTTTTCACCAATGGCATCCTGTATAAGAAAAGTGTCATCCGACATTCGGCCCAACACTTCGCCAGTACTGATTCCCTTGTCAAAAAATGAGACGTCCTGCCGCAAAATCGATTTTAAATACAAAGCTCTAATCCGTGCTGCTTGTCTTTCGCCAGCACACATCCAAAATGAAGTCTCTGGTAGAAAATCCATGCTTGTCAATCCAAAAGCTATCATTCACAATTGTAAAATACTCACCCATCAAAGCCGCAGCTCCTGTTCCCAGACCCAAAAACACGTATCTAAGAGCAACCTGCATTGAAAGCTCGTCAAACTCAAGCAGCCAAGAACCAAAAGTTGGAGATCTACTATACCTTGGAGACCTCGTGGACAAGGTTGGAGACATTGTGCTCATTCTCCCCAAAAGCGTTGGCAACCTGTCCAAAGATGAGAGCCATGAGCGGCCGTGCCATGCCATTCCCGACGGCTCCAAAGATCCCCAGCGACATGAGAAGCACGTCCAGCCAGTCGGCAAACATGAAGAGCTTGTAGAAAGGCAAGGACTTAAACTCGTGTGCCTTGAAACGATCCGGTTCTTCACTAGCTGCGGCAGTCGATGCCACGGTCGAGACCGATGCTTGTTCTTCCACAGGCCCGATCGACACCGAAACTTCCGACGCTTTAGCGTCCGTGGAAGCTGAAATCCCCGACGCTTGAGCATCCAATCCCGAAATATCCGCCGCTTGAGCATCCAATCCCTTCTCCTCTGCGCCTTGCGCCTCCCGGACCTCTACCCGGACCTCCTGCGAATCCTCTACCTCGATCGGCATCGCCGGCGTTGCCGATTCCAACATTTCCTCGATGCCGGCACCTACATTTCCATCGGGAGGAGCTGCGCGATCCACAGCGGGCAGAGGCGGCGCGTCATGCACATTCATCGCGAGCGCATCGATCACCGCGACCTAAAATCTCTGGCAGTTGAGGAGGAAGAACACTCTTTGTTTAGGGCAAAGTGATCCAATAAAAACTCTGGCCTAAACGATGAGAAAGAGAAGATCACGATCACTACTACGCGCTCGTGAACTTGGTGACCGCCTTGGTCCCCTCGCTCACAGCGTGCTTGGCGAGCTCGCCGGGGAGGATGAGCCTCACGGCGGTCTGGATCTCGCGCGACGTGATGGTGGGCTTCTTGTTGTAGCGCGCCAGCCGCGCCGCCTCCTGCGCGAGCTTCTCAAAGATATCATTGATGAAGCTGTTCATGATCCCCATGGCCTTGCTCGAGATCCCAATCTCCTGGTGGACCTGCTTGAGCACCTTGAAAATGTAGCTCTTGTACGTCTCCGTCGCCTTTTTCATGCGCTTCTTCTTCATCGCCGCCGCCGCCACTCCGCCACCGCCGCCGCCGGATCCATCCTTGTCCGCCGCTGCCGCCCCCCGGGGCTTCTTCTCCACGGGCTTCTTCTCCGCGGGGGCTTTGCTCGCGGGCTTCTTCTCTCCCTTGGGCGCCATTCCAAGCGCTCAACCAATGACAAGGCTGGAAAAGCTATCGACCATGCTAGGGCTCGAACTCTAGACCTTTTCTACTGCTGACGTGGCTCCACATTGGCCACATCACTATTGAGTGGTATTTTTTGGGTCATGGATGCGCGCGCTAGTAGTAGCGCCTTGCGCGGGGCTGGAGTGATCGTCCCAGCTCCCGCCGCTTGGATTCATCGGCGCCGGCGGCATTGCGCTGCGATTTCCAGCTCGGGCATAGAATCTCCGAGTCTAGCAAGAGGTCTTGCCGCTGATTCCAATCCAGGAGCTCGTTCTAACCTAATACTGTTGTCGCAGGCGTCACTGATAACCATGGCAATTTTGTGAGGAATGTAGCGGGACTGGAGCCTCCCACGCAGCTCCAAATGCTGCTCGACGTCCTGCAAGCCAAAGGTTTGCGTAAATTTCTCTTTCGCTCCATCTTTGATTGCTTTCGCATCAGGCGAGCAAGTAGTTTCTCCTGAGAAAAGGCAGGGATTGCATCCTTTGGCGATCCCACTGTCACAAAACTCTACTGGTAAGCTCAAAAAAGAAATTCTATCTTCGTTTGCCATATTCACGACTATCACAGGCACTATCACTGCTTTGTTGAGATGGCCGACGCCACCAGAAGGGTCAGTATAAACCATCACCTCCAGCGATTTATTCCCTTCGCTTAGAAACAAGGAAATCAATGCTCCATGCACGAAAATTCTAACAGCATGGCGATCCCAGTTGTCGAAGTACACACGTATGGACTGTGCCTCCTTTCTAAGAGCGTGAGTAGGCCCCGATCATTCTCATCTATGCAGCAACGCGTTGCTTTCACAGGTAGAACAATATGTGCAAAAGATTCTCGTCGAGGAAGAGGTTCACGGTCGTGGTGACGCATGCTACAGTGCTGCCGTTGCTTCCGCTGGCGGTGATCCGGACAGAGTTCCTTATAAAAGAGGTGACTTCGAAAACTCCAAACTAGCTGGTTTGGATGTCTATCTCATGAAGAAGGTGATGCTTGTCATGTTCTTCCCGAGTTTTTCTTTGTGACTTTTGAAACTGCAGGTGGGACTGTTTCCGGATGTGTTTGAGCGCTTAGCTCTCAAGCACCTCGAGAAGGGCGACGAGGTAAACGCGCATTATAACTTCACACTAACTCTCGTAGCTCTATTGAGCCAGGTATCTGCTCTAGTGACCGGAGAGTTTTATGTTACGAAGAAGCACTTTCCTGGATTTGGAAGGCCTCTTGTTTTCAACGCGGAGCTCATGCTAAAGTTTGCGATCTCCGTGAAAGATTTGCTGCAAAAACTCACCTTGTTTTCCAGAATTGGACGGAAGAGCGAGGCCAAAGACGCGGCCAGGATTGCTCTCAAGTCGCCGTGGTGGACGCTGGGCTGCGAGTACAAGACTGTGGCCGAGATTGCCGGGTGGGGAGACGAGAAAGTGGAGTACATGAGAGAGAAGATGACGGAGGAAGGAAGAAAGGAGGAGCTCAACAAAGGCAAAGCCCCCGAACAGGTGACACGGTCGTGGTGATCTCATCTACAAGATGTTTTCCAACCTTTGTTTTGCAGGTGGCATTGGATCAAGCAGCGTTCCTTTTGGACCTGGGAACCGTGGATGGGAACTGGGATGAGATTAGCGAGAAGCTTGCATCGTTTTATACGGAGGCTGGCCTGGACACCATCGCCAAATTCGTTGCGCTACAAAGTGGTATGTTCGTAGGTTGCTTGAAAGTTTGTATCGCTTCTCAAACGTTCACCTTTTGCAGAAATGTAAAAGTGGTCGTTCTTGGGCTCGTCTTCTTTGTGGGCGAGGATGGAAAGAGTACACGAGTGGTTGAGCTCTCGCAAAAGAATGCGAAGCTGAAAATCTATTCTTTCAACGTTGCAAATCATTCAAGGCAAGCAAAGATTTTTCTGCGTTAATGAAGATGAAAACAATATGGATATGAAACTTAAGAATGAGTTGATTATAGTATACACCTCGAAACCCTTCCCTTCTGACGACGAAACCACGGTCAGTTCTTCGCGGCACAAACGAAGAAACTTAGCTTTTTTCTCTGTACACCTTTCTCTACCAAAAGACTTCCAGCCCGGGCACAAAATTGATGTCTGCAGCATGCTTTTCCTCGACGTCCATCCGCCTCCTAAGTACGAAAGAGCCCCTCCAAGCTCTGCTCCGCCCTTCACCATCACAAAAGCTTGAAGCTACGATCCCTCCGCAAAATCTCATCTCGATGCTTGATCCGATACCTGGACCGAGCCTGTTGGCGGACCCGAGGTGGTGACCATGGCGGAGCCGTTCTCCGCCGGCGGCGCCACCCCCCACTTGGCCTCCGACTCTAGAGGCTCTAGCACTTGGACGCTTCCGTCGGTTAGTCCCAGTGCGAAGAGATTGGGCTCGGAGGGGTGCGCTGCGACTACAAGCGGATGAGCGCTGCGAAACAAAAGAGAGAAAACTTATTTCCATGGAAAGCTAGCGTGTGTACGTACCCTGTGACTCCCTGAGGTAGATACACGGTCGGAGCAATGCGACAGTATGGTCGCAACGTCTCGGCTTCAAACACGCCGATGGCGCCGTCGAGAAACGCGGCGTAGACCAGCCGACTGTCGCAGGAATACGTTCCGCTAGAGATTCCGGCCGGGAAGTTGTCTTTCGGAACCCACTGGAAGAACAGCAACAAGTATTTTGAGAGAGTCTTCTAGAAGGAGATGCGGCTTACTTGACTCAAGCGCTCTAGTTTGGCGGCATCATAAATAGCTAGCTGCGTCTCGTGCACGACCAGAAGACGAGTATGGTCGTTGTGAAACTGTACTTTGGTGTCTCCGGTGGCCGGAGTTCCCTTCACTGGCGGTGTTTGAAGGAATTTTGACTTGCGCTTCTCCCATCCATCGGTGCCCCATACACAAAGCTGCAGAGAGAAGATGTTTAGACAAGTAACATCGCTTGTGCAGCGTCATTACCTGATCATCGGCTCCAGACGACACAAGTACGTGTAGGACATTGGAGAATGCTAGTCCAGTAATCCTCTTTTGGTGACCTTTGAGCTTACTTTTAACCTCGTCAACTCGAACATTGTATATTTGTATTGTAGAATCTTCCATTCCAATCGCTATGATATTGTTGTCTTGAGGGTGAAAAGCCAGGAACGTTGCTGCTGGTGGCGGTGGCATGAATGCTGTCATCACCTGGACATGGCAAGTTCTTACACCGGTCAAGAAGGAAAAATGTGCATACCTTGAAAGTCATCATATTAAATAGAGAAACTTTGCCTCCCGAAGCGGACATCACGTAAGAGTCATTCTTTGACAAGGCAATGCAAGGCACAGCTTCTTCCGGATTGTTCTCGGTCGTATCATTGGTCATGAGAATCCCACTTGATGGCTGGAATAGTTGTGGTGGAAAACTAGCAGTCGCCTGTAAGAACAAAATGAGTGTCAGTATCGGTAAGGTCTAGATTCAAATCATCACACATACTTTTCCAAGTGGATTGCGAGACCATTTCCAAACCTTGTGAACTGCACTAGAAGCGAGCGCTAATAAGCCCAGACCATTGTTTGTGAAGATAAGTCTTGATATCTGTTGCAAAAAGTGTAAACACTCTAGCTTACGAATAGTCAAGTACCTTGCTTGCTGGTAGAGTATCTGGTAGCTTTAATGCACGACAATGAGAGGGTTCCACAATTTCAGTTAGCTTCCACAGTTTGTTTGAGTCGTCTGTAGTTCGGGGTTTTGTCTCCGGGCGTCCATTTTCAATGCCGTTCTGCAGTTATATTTGTCAGAAGGCATTTCAAAAGAGATTTCCATCCATACCCCTCCAGTAAAAGGTACCGGTTGCGAAACTGGTCTGTCAATGGCCACAACCCCGCTGCCTGATGCACTTGCAACGTTCCCCTGAAGAAACATGCAAATTTACAAATTCCTTCATGGATAGACCGTCATACCTTTGTTTCCGGAGGTACTTTGTTACCCTCAAAAGACCGTAGAAGCCGCAAGCCATCTGCATTAGCCAAAATCTTGAAACCATTGTCGATTGTTGTTACTGCGAGTAAAGAGCCTTCTTTGTTGAAACGAATTCGCGGGCTCGCCTACAGAAAACGTTATAGCAACGAATCTTCCTCGAAACGAACAAGTGCTTACAGGCAATCCGCCGTCGGCATCGATGGAGGTCAATAAGTTTATGTTGTCCATGTCCCAGAACTTGACCGAGAACTCGTCCCCAACCGCTAGAAAGCAGTTCCTAGTGGTGTCGAACTGGACAACGTTTGGCATTCTCTTACGGAATCCAATGTACGTGCGTTTGATAACCCCTTCACTTTCATTCCACTCGACAAGGAATGAGTCACCCTCCTTGCTAGTTCCGCACGAAAAGAGCCTACAAAACACATAGCCTCGTTTAGCGCGTGTCTTACGATAGAAACGAGACAAACGAGACAAACCTTGTGCCATCAGCACTGTAGGCCATTGTTGTGCACCAACTTCCAGGCGCATCATAGTCAACCCGTGAACCAAGGCAATCGTACAGCCACGCCTTGATTTTGCCGTCCATTGCTGTAGAAAATATGAACTGCCAAGAACAACAGTGTTGAAATCAGAGTACACGCGGAACTCACAATCTTACCTGTATATTTTCCTTGTGATGCGGACAAACAGAGTACACTGGCGCTTCGTGACCCTCAAAAGTGTATTTGTTGCGACCACTCACCGCATCCCACACCTGATTTTTTCATTGCCCTTTCAGTCCATATTTTTCTCAAAGATTATGCAGACCTTGATCGTTTTGTCATCGCCACAAGAAATGATGCACAGTTGCTTGTTTGGATGGGCAAATGCAAGATCGTTCACACTCCCCACATGCGCATCAATCTGTTGGAAGAGAAACATTCAAGTGTTTTCGTCTTCACAAGGTATAAACAATGCGTACATACCTCCACTTGCTGCCGTAGCTCGACGCCTCCAAAATACTGATAAACCTGAACAATGTGCTTATTGAAAGCCACCCCTGCACGCATGCAAAACGAGTTAGCTCAACAGCATATGACAATCGCGCGCACCTATAAAATTTCCATCTGGACTCCAAACAACCCTCGTAACAGCAACTGCTGGGTCTTTAACGAGAGCAGTCTGTAAAGCACGTTAGAACGCTAGAAATAGATATAAAAAGGACATGAGCAGACCTGGAGAGGCATAGAACACACTGAAACCTCCCAGACTTTGAACGTTTTCAGCGCGAGGCGTTCCCGCGTGGCCACATCCCAAATAGCAATTTCACCAACATTTGTACCAACTGCCAGAAAAAAGAAAGATCAGAGCGTTTCTACCACGGCGGGCACTGTACCTAAAAGAATGACTTGCTGCAGAGGGTGGAAGTCCATTGTCGCAACACAGGAACCTTGGTTGATGGTCCTCGCAACAGTCTTTGGAATATCATCTATCGTATATGACGCTTGCTGAATGTTTGGTCCCGGAAAGTTCACCTGCATTTGCAAGTCACTTACAAAATTCAAACTATCGCTTTCATCCCGACCTCTTCCACATGCTGACCAACAGGTCGGTTTCGCTTCATTAAGTGCTCGGAATCAGCCGTCTGGAAATCAACCGTAGGGGCTGGCGGAGGCGTCCTGGGTCGCTTTAGCATTGCAGCTGAAAGAAACTCAGCTGAAAACTTGAAAGCGGCAACAGAACGAAAACCAAACCTGGGTTCGGAGCTCCAGCGAGAGCGGCAGGCCCTCCAACAACACCTGGATGTGACGGAGGATTTGGATTGGCCATCCAGCCTGCAAGTGCACTAGCTGTAGGGGCTGCTGGTTGGAAAGGCTGTACACGTTTCAAAACCAAAGTTGTTAGACAGTAAAACTAAAGCCTGCAAGTTGCACGTACGCTGTGCGCACCCAAGGGGGGGAACCCGGCACCTTTCGGAAGACTCCCGACCAAGGGACTGTTTGCTGGTGGTGGCGCGCGGGCTCCATTCGGCGCGCCACAGGTATGATCTACAAACAGAGTTTTGATATCTGGGTTGGGCCTAGGATTCTTGCAAAGCTGATGTTGCCAATTGAGGCTGGACAAAAAAAGAAAAAAAGAAATGCATTTCTTCTATCAGCACAGAAGTAGCTGGAAAAGCAGGTACGCACCTTTGATTAATCAGCGTTCGGAGCCGTGACGCTTTGAGCCCCGGAAATTGAAGCTTCTCCCGGAACAAAGGATTGGCCTCAATCAGTTTCTTAAGCTCCAATAGCATTATGTTCCGGGCAGATTTCGTGTCCCCATACTTGGACAGCTGTTCGTTTTCTCTGCAACCAAGTCCATAGCGTGTCAGGACAGCCTACAAAAGGGCCGTGTTACACTTCAAACCTGAAGTTTTCCAGCGTAAGAAGCTGTGTAATCTCCTTGTACAGATCTTCGTTGAAGGACGCAAACACTTTGAGGTCCTTGACTAGTATCTCCACTGCCCTCGCTCTATCTTGCCTGCAAACAACACAGAGCCCCCCTTATCAGAACTGGCTCACCACACGAGATAAGAGAGAAGCAAGAAAACATAAAAAGAGAGAAAGAGAGAAAGAGAAAACTTGTCACTCACCTGTCCAAGGCCTCGAGGTACTTTTGCTTTCTTATCTCGAAGAAAATCTTCATGGAGTAGCGATTGTCATCCACCTTGGTGAAGCCAGACAAGTACCTCTCCACCTCGTCCCACTCCCCATTCTGGACCTGATCTTCAAAGTACTTCATGTTGAAGTAGAAGCCAGATTCTTGCTCCAGCCTGCCAAAATCGCACAACACTTACATCCACCAACAAGAACAAACCACAAATCTTCTCACTTGTGCACCGTCTCCTTGAATTTCTCCTCATCCAGGAACTGCAAGATGAGGAACACGAGCTCCCGGCTGAGTGACGACATATCTCCACCGCCCCGATCTTCTTGGACCGCTTCCCCTGCCGCCGCCGCCGCCGCGCCGCCCTGTCCTTGGCCGCTGCCACCAGCGCGTCCTACCCTGAGCTACCAATCCATGGGAATCCACACCCGACCTGTCCAATCCCGCGCCCCGCGCCTTAACAGGACGCCGGACCTAGATTATTGGCGGCGGCGCTCGCGAATCCTCCTCCGCCGCGACTAGGGTTTGATTGACACAGAGAAAGAGAGAAGAGGAAGAACTCCAAGGAAAGGACATTGAGTTGCGCGGCAGCATCCTTTCTTGGGAATCAAAGCCCTCGCCAAAGCCGATGCCGCATTCTAGGCCCTCTCACACACTCTCACGCTCACACACACAAACACTCTCTCTCTCTCTCTCTCTTCTATCTCTCTCTCCTTTGCCAGGAAAACCAAATAAAAATTCCCCCACACACTGTCACACAAGCGCCACAGCCACACCACACCACCACTCGCCTTCGATCGAATGGCCGACATTTGCTAATAAAAGAGGAGGAAAAAACAGTGCTCTCTGGCCGCTTATCATCTCGCCCGCGCTGCGCTTATCGCCCTATCACGCCGCGCGCTTATCGCTTATCGGGCTGGTAAAGTGTCGGAGGTCGCCAATAGCGTATCACTCCGACCCTTTGGTTTCTTTTTGCTTCGTTTATCATCTGTCGTCCTTTGGGCGCGATAGGCTATCCGAATGCCCTGTCGGGGCGCAGATCCAACGGCAGGGAACCGGGGATTGCCCCCGACATTTTGGACATCTCGACCGTTCGAAAGTGTGCGAGGGATTTTGCTGCTCGTGTTTTTTTTTTCGTCCGTCCAGTGAACGGAGGCAGACGGAGCTTCCAGAAGAAAAGTATATCAGTCGATTTTAACTTATCATCGCATAGTAAATTCTCTTTTTGTGTGTATGCCTGTGTGAGTCGAGCAAAAGGTGGCAAGAAAATGTGATTGATAAAAAAATAGGAGTCCGTTCCCTCGATGTGACCGCCCTGCTACGGGCCATAGGACAAAATGCCCACAACGCTGAGACGAGTTTAAATCCCTTTTGCGAAAGTCACAGGCTTGGCATGACACTTGAATTCGACGTGTTTAAATCCGGAGCATATTCGCCACCAGGATTCCCGGCGGGGCATGAGGTGAGAGAATGGAATCTTTTTTCTCGCTCAATCGTTGACTTGGAACATTGGAAGCAAGAACGCGCTACTATTGGAGAGGCCACTATGGAGCTACCATCTTTTCTCTCTCTTCGTTTTTTTTGGGTCTCTCCTTTTTCCTCCACTCCACACGATCTCCAATCCTTCTCGTGAGCCCAAAACAAAAGCGTCGTCGTTTGCTCGCTCGCTGTTGAAAGCAACGCCTTATAAAGTCTCTGTACTGTGGCCTAAGTCTCTGTGTCCCGTGGATGACAGTGGAACGAAGATGGAGGGATTACGCCACATGATCGGACTGCGATTGATTGATGTGATATCTCGCCAATCAAGAAAAAAATAAAACTTCCATATAAAAAAACTAAGGTATAAGTCTCATGATCAATCTTTGCTTTTCTTGGCACCGCACCGTGTACCGCCCAGCCTGACTGGCGTACCGCGCTGTGCAGATTGACACTACGCATGGCAAGGACTGAAATTAAAATCTTTTTGTTCCTTTTTGTGGGATGAATGAGATCGGGACGCGCAAGCGAAGCACGCGCAGTGTAAGACTGGGCTGGTTGTTCGTTTGGAGAGAGAGAGAGAGAGAGAGAGAAAGAGTCTCAGAGCTATGGCGATGACAGCACTTTAGCAGCAAGCAACGAACGACAAGAGCTAAAGGGAGAACTCCTCGGGAGTACACTGGTTCTTCTTCTTTCTTTCTTTTTCTTTGACAGAGTAAAATTGGGAAGTTCACATCACTCCTGATCGTGATCGCGAGTGGTGTATCAGTCCGGGACAAGTTCTTTTTTTTTCGATGCGAGAGTAAATTTGCTTTGCCTGTCTGCGCTGTCCTCTGTTCTTCTGCTGCAACTGCTGTGCGGCATTTTGCGCCGTGCAAAAATTCCAAGCTTTTTTCTGCCAAGTTGGAGAACTAGCCACCCCAATCCAGACTGGTCGTTCAGGCGGGGCATTTTCGTTGGTCGGGTTCTTGGAGTGGATTACAGCGCATGGGTCGATGGTGTTGGATTGGATCAAGCCATCCAACCAAATGATTGCGAGATATAATTGTGATCTTTGAGCATCACATCCAAGACTGATGGCGTTGTTGTGTTGGTGGTGGTGTGCATAGATTGATCAAACACCAAGAATCATCCATCCAGTTCCAAACAGAAAGTTCATCTTCAATATCTCTCTCTCTCTCTCTCTCTCTCTCTCTCTCACACACACACACACACACACACACTCTCGAACTCCATCGAGCTTTCCTTCGTACTGCTGCCTCCGATTGCGATGTGACTCGCCATCAATCAATTGGAGATCATGCAATTTGGTGGCACACCTGTTTGCCGTCCTTGCTCGCATTCATTCCAGAGATTCGCTTTCCCTGCTGCTTTAGCAGCAAAACAAAGAAAAATAATGCGTACGACAGTGGATCTAATGCCGTACTTTAGCCGGCCTCCTGCCTTTTGTCACGTATAAACAAAGGAGCGAAAGGTTCCTCGATCGAGAGACAATGTTCATCGTCAGGTAATGCTTACGTACTTGGCGTACGTGAGTGTCATCCCCTCTCTGGATTCAATCCACCGCGGGAATATATTTTTGGTGGAGCTGCATTGTCAAGCAAAGGATTCCTTTCTCTTTTCCTCGCCACCTCCGCTCATACCACAGGATTTCCACTAAACGACTTTGAGATAAGAACCAAGGTTCCACAACCTTATTATTATTGTACAGTGTCATACGCAGCACCACTTATCAGGTGCCCTTATCTAGCCAGACTCCTCCACGCAAAGACTTGGACTTGGGCGAGCTGGAAGCTCCGCACTGTTACTATAGCAACAATGTTAAACATAAAGAATCCTCTGCGAAAGCTGCTACAACTATCGCTTTGTGTGTGTAGATTGATGGCGAAAGTGGCTTTGATTGTATAGCGCAAACAATGAAGTTACATCCATACCTAGAAGTGCTTGGCACAGGGGTTCCTTTTCTCGCCCTTCTTACAGGTTTAAGTACCTGCAATTGCGGCCTTTTCCCGTCGCTGGCAGCACAGCACATTTACGAAGAATTTGTCACAGCAGCACCAAAGCGGGGAGGAGCCCAATTCAAGTGTGATGGCGACCCACACTCGCGGGACGTGCTGCTGACGCTTTCAAGACGGTGACAACGACGATTACTTTATATCTCTTTCAGGCCCTTTTCTTTCATTGAACGTTGTGTAACTTGGGTGGCTGGTTTTCTCACTGCTCCAGTGTCTGATCCTCAGCTCTGTGACCTGACCTGACTTGCTTGTGTTCAACAAACAGCAGCTGCAACAACGACAACAACACCGGCAGTAAAATAGCGGCAGTAGATTCACAGACGAACGGTCGTAAAACATTGGATTGGATCAAAGAGTTTGGTATGAAGAATCTGAACGATGCCTGTTTTTCGCGAAGTCACTTTACCGTACAGAGGCAGATGTGGATTTCATTGCTCCGTGTCTTTTCTTCATCTTGCCCTTCCGTCCCCATTTGTTAGGTACTGAACATACCGCCAACTTTGTTATAATATTGCACGCACGTCGGCGTCGTGCGATTGCCACATCGTTGGTCTTTTTTTTTTTCTCAGGTTTCTTCCACCGACTCGCGGAATTGGATTTGCCCTAATTCAAATGTATGTAAGTATAAATATACATAAGATGTTCGCTGTAATCGAGCGAAGCTCTTTGGCTGGCTGGCTGATGGGGATGTATGTGCCCCGTGATTTATCACAGTCTAGTCGCTGAATCTAGAACCCAACATCACACGACATTTTGTCCGCCTCACCTCACTCGGCTCCTTTAAACACACGCATATGTGTATGGATCACTCACACACTTGTCTCTTTCAGTTCCTTTACTGCTGTGTGTGTTGTTTTTGTGGAAAATGTGCAGCGGTCATGCATTGCAGATAGAGCGTCACAGAAACATGACCTTTGTAGTTTACACGTTTGCTTGCTTGGCGGTCCTGTTCTCCACTATCAAGATAGTCTTTGGCGGTATGCTTATGTGAGCTTGGGCATTTGGTCTAGTGGTATGATTCTCGCTTTGGGTGCGAGAGGTCGCGAGTTCGATTCTCGCAATGCCCCTAGCCTCCCAACACCTTTATATATAAGCCTGAGAGCTCTTTCTTTTCTTTTTTTTGGATCATCCGTAACGGCATTGTGAATTGATTGAGCCAGGAATTCCCCTTGCTGTAGGCTCTATGGTCCTCTCCCTGGGTGCCTTTTCTTAATACCCTGGCATCCCGAATCTCTAGCAACAAAAATCTCTCGTTCCTTGCTTTGTCGACTCACGCTGGTAAACTTTGCGATCTTAGCACAGGAAGTTTTCAGAAACCGAACTTGAAACAATTCAATTAAAACAAAATTGACACAACTGGATTCAGCACTTGCCTTGTCAAAAGACAGGTTTTGCAGCACACACAAAACAGCTTTGTCTGCTCCACTGCATCCAAAATTTGGAGAATCAGGTTATGACACCTTGGCAGCCTCTTCTCTATAAGCATCGTTGTACCAAGAGTCCTAGTGATTGTCCTTGTAGAAGTGTTTCCTTGTGAAGCTCTAGAATCAAAGTTCGTGCTCGAACTATGCTGGTTTCCTCCAAAATCAGTCGTTTCTTGTCAATGCAAGCATGGCCATGATGGTGTCCTGAGCAGTCACCATATCGATGATGGAACAACTGCTGTATTGTGTCCCTGCTAACTGTCGAGTTGCCTCTCTCCCTTAAACTTCCAACTTCGAGTTTTAAAAACCTCCCAGTTGAGAAAAGAACTAAGCTGATCTTGTTGAATAGCAATTTCAAAAAGTTTTTAAAAAAAAACCAAAAGAGATAATTCAATTATTAACAAAAATTAAAATAAGAAACAAAACTCGGCAAACTAATAAATAACAATTATACAAAAAATAAAACTTATATGTATATATTACATTTTTTTAATTTTTATATTTATAGTTTATAAAACAAGAATAAAGGAAATAGAAATTATAATAAGGGATTTTAAAATAATAAAAATAAATTCAATAGAAAATAATACAGCCTCTGTAAGTGCTTGGAATATGGAAATAATTATATTAATTGAGGTTTAAATTCCTGCTTATATACATGACAAAATTCAGTCCCAGATAAATAATTTATATGTTATACTAATATAATTAGTGTATTACCTAAGCAAGGTAGTATGTATGTTGTATATACATACATACATACATACATACATACATACATACATACATACATATATATATATATATATATATAAAACATGTATTTACCAATATGAAGAATATAAGTCAAATGGAATATCTAGAGTTTCCACTATGATTATACAATACCACAAGAAT